GACATGAGACATGAAGACAGTGGAAGAGACAGGATAGAAGAAGAAGAAGAAGAAAAGACAGACACGAAGAGACAAGAGACCTGCTAGAGAAGAGAGAGAGAGAAGATGCCGCCGCAGGACGACAAGAGGCAGGCGGCGCGGGAAGTCATCGACATCCTGCATGAGATCTCAACGCTGCTGGTAAGAGATGACCTACAGACAGACACACACACACACACACACACACACAGAGAGAGAGAGAGAGAGAGAGAGAGAGAGAGAGAGAGACTGACAGATTGATATTATAGAATACGCATCTGGACCGGACGGAGCTGTCTCTCTGCGTCTCGCTGATAGAAAACGGCGTCAACCCGGAGGCGCTGGCAGTGAGTCTACCCCTATACAACCATGGCCGAGCGCCGGCTGACCTGCTAGAATGTGATCAAGGAGCTCAGGAGAGTCGAGGCAGACGATGAGCGGTAGTCGACAGGATGTCTGGCACGATACAATGCGTACTCGATACGATATTATGTTTGGGAATCATGGACTGGTATTTACAAGGGAATTAGAGGTTGATATGGCTACCCGCTATGTACTCGTCTTCTCGGCCTTCTTCGCGGCATCCTCGCCCTTGACCTCCTTTGCCTTGCTCTCCCGCTCGTCATCGCTGTCTCCCAGGCTGAACGGGTCGTTGTCTGCCACGGGAGACGGCTCCACGGTCGACAGCGGCTGCCACTTGCTCGACTTGTTGGCCGTGCTGCGGGCGCCAGCACTGGTATTCGCGTTGCTGCTGGCGGTGCCGCTGGCGTTGTTGGCGTTGCTGCTGGTGTTGGCTGAGAACGAGTCCTGGATCTCTTCGGGCGGGCCCTCCTGGAAGGATACCTTGCGTCGGTCGGGCGAGGCAGAGGCGCTCTTGCTCTTGAACAGGTCTGGGTTGGCCTGCGGGCGTGGAGGGCGAGGCGGAGGCACTATCATAACCTTATTAGCATACAGCTATACAACTATCATGGAATATAATGCATAATATGATGTATACGTACCCTCGTTGTCTCGTAGCTCGAGAGAGGAAAAGTCGTCGCCCAGGACATGCGGATCGGCGTCGTATCTCTCGCGGTCTACGCTGCGGCGGTTCGGGTAGCCGTACTGCTGCTGCTGCTGCTGCTGCTGTCTCTGCCCATACTGTCTCTGGCTGTGGCCGTACTGCGCATCCTCGTCAGACTCCTCCCCGTCAAGCCGTCTTTTGAAGTTCTCCACCCAGCTGTTCACCCGCGACTGCGTCTCCAGGAACCCCTTGCGGATATTCTCCTTGATAATCGGCAGGTCGTCTGTTCCAATATCCATCAGCATCACCAAATAATAGCTTTCCCGCAAAAGTCATACGCACCGTCAAGGAAGCTGTGTTCCTTATCGTAGAGCTCGTTCGGCTTCAGCCCCTGACCCCTCTGCCCCGACGCCGGGCCGTGGTCCCATATCGACGACGACGGCTGCTGCTGGTACCCTCGTCTCTGGTCCGCGCCGCTGTAGTGCTCGGCCAGCTGGCGCGCATACCGTTCGTCGTCCTCCAGCTGGCTCTGCGTCGTCGATGTAGCTACCCCGCCAGCGCTCGGTCGAGGGGGCACCGCCGGCCGTACTTCCTCCTGTGCGTCCGGATCAGACATGCCTGCGCGCACCACTAGTTAGCATCCCATCTTTTTCTCTCCCGCAGTTTCTATATCAGAGTCCCCACCCAGCAATGCATTGAATGCCCGCTCGACGTTTCCATCACTCGCTACCACCACCGCCTTTATCACCGGCGCGTCGATGTTGGGGAACGCCTCCTTGAGGTCGTCAATTATCCTCTGGTACGGATTCGGTGTGCGAGGCTGTCCCTGGCTCTGGTTCTGCATGTTCGCAGCCAGGTTGAGCTGCGAAGACGGCCGGCTGGTGGTGGTGGTGGTGGTGTTGGTGGATGTCAGGCCCGTCTCCTGCGGCTCGTCGTCAAAGTCCAGCGGGCGAGCCGTCGTCGGCGACTCAGGGTTCAGTCCCGTTGCTTTCTTCGGAGTGCTTGTCTAAACGCAGTCAGCTCGTCAGTATTCCGGTCTTCTATCTCTCCGTCGTCCGGGCGAGGGGCTGGTAGCTGTAAGTAAATATGCTGCCTGGTAGATACGCACTGCTCGGTCTGTCTCTGCCATGCTGGCTGGCTGTCACTTCTCGGCTGGTCCTGTATCACTCTCAGCGTCCCAGTAAAACAGCAATATCACTCTCCGTCTCAATTATGCCGCTGTCAAGTAGTTTTGTCTGATTCTCTTCTTCTTCCTCTCTTTGCTTCTGCTTGTTGTCGTTCTTCTTCTCTGCTTTTTTTTTTACTAAGTCAAAACTTGTGACGCCATCAAATCGCTTACGTCAGCGAATAACACTCGATCAAGAACGCCCCGAAGACAACTCAAAAAGAGAATCTACATCTACATCTACATCTCCTGGCTGCGGACAAGGATAGGATACAACCAGCCATGTCTAGGATGGTATAGACACTCAATCACAGGCGACATGCCAGTTGCTGCTTGCTCGACCTGCGATGGACGCATTTGATACCCCCGGGCAGTTCGTGGCTGCGCTGTACAAGCCCACAGAGCTGCTGCCCATAGCAAGACACAGACAAAGCCTGCTCTATGCCATTGAAAAATACCCCGTCGTTGTCCTGGTCGGCGAGACTGGCAGCGGGAAGACCACCCGGCTGCCGCAGTTTCTCGACCAGGCCGGATGGTGCGGCGGTGGGAAGCAGATTGCCATCACTCAGGTGAGTCTCGTCTTCTTAACACACAGCTACCAAACAGATATACTAACAAAGATACGATGTATAGCCCCGTCGAGTTGCAGTGACGTCGGTTGCAGCTCGCGTGGCAGGAGAAACAGGATGCCAGCTCGGTCAAGAGGTCGGGTACTCCATCAGGTTTGAGGATGTCACTTCGGCCTCGACACGCATCAAGTTCGTGACAGATGGACTACTGTTGCGAGAAGCGCTCGTGGACCCATTGTTGTCTCGGTATTCTGTTATTATGGTCGACGAGGCGCATGAACGCTCAGTCAGTACAGATGTGCTGCTCGGTGTGCTCAAGAAGATCAGGAAGCGAAGGCCGGAACTACGCATCGTCGTCAGCAGTGCCACGCTCAAAGCTGAAGACTACATGCAGTTCTTTGCCGGACAGGGTGCCGCCGAAGACAATGAAACTGCAAGAATTATCACTCTAGACGGGAAAATGTACCCCGTTGACTGCCTGTACCTGGAGTCTCCTGCAGAAGACTACGTCGAGCGCGCCATAAAGACCGTCTTTGATATCCATGCCACCGAGCCCGAGGGAGACATACTCCTCTTTCTCACCGGCAGAGAAGAAATCGTATCCGTTACCCAGCAGATATCAGAACAGGCTGCACTTTTACCCCAGAAGGCGCAAGCTCTCCTCCCAGTGCCCCTTTATGCCGGCCTAACAGCCGACCAGCAACTCTCGGCCTTCGAACCTGCTCCCGAAAACACTCGCAAAGTCATCGTCTCTACCAACGTGGCCGAGGCATCAGTCACCATCGAAGGCATCGTATACGTCGTCGACTGCGGCTTTTCCAAACTGCGAGCCTATGATCCATCCACCGGTATCGAAAAGCTAACTACTGTGCCCATCTCGAAGGCCTCCGCCACACAACGTGCCGGCCGTGCAGGAAGGACCCGCCCAGGCAAATGCTTCCGACTATATACCGAACAATCTTTCCTATCCCTGCCACAGGAGACCACCCCTGAAATCCAGCGCGCAAACCTTGCCCCCATCATACTCCAGCTCAAATCCTTAGGTATCGACAACGTTGTTCGATTCGACTATATATCCTCCCCGCCCTCGGAGCTTTTCGTCCGAGCATTCCAGCTTCTCTCCTCCCTAGGCGCCATAGACGACTATGCCAAACTCACCAAGCCGCTCGGCATCCAGATGGCCGAATTACCCGTCAACCCCATGATGGCAAAAGTGCTTCTCAGCTCGACCAAATTCGGCTGCCTGGACGAAATACTGTCTATAGCTGCAATGACCACGCTGCAGGATAGCATCTGGTTCAACCAGGATGAGAAAAGAGGCATATCGCCATCCATCCGTCAATTTGCTGTCGAAGAAGGCGACCACTTGACGTATCTCAACATCTACCAGGCCTTCGTCACCAAGGGGAGAAAGGAAGCCAAATGGTGCAGGGATCAATCGCTCATTCATAAATCCATGATGAAGGCAGTTAGTATTCGAGTCCAGCTTGAAAACCATCTAAAGCGTTTTGGAATCGATATGGCTAGAAGACAGGCTGCTACCACCGAGCAAATCCAACGGTGTCTCACGACGGGCTTCTTCGCTCACGCAGCTAAAATGCAGCCCGACGGGACATTCAGGAGTATTACGGGAGGGATAACTTTACATGCTCACCCGAGCTCACTGATGTTTGTAAGTTTTTCTCTCCTCAGGCTCTGAGCTTATGAATACTGACTTGACTGGTAGAACCGAAAAGCTGAATGGGTTATTTTCAATGAGATATTGCAAACGGGAACAAAATCATTTATCAGGGATGTCACCAAGATAGAGAAGGCTTGGTTATCAGAATATGCGCCGGAGTATTATGAGGTTAAGAAGTAGACTTGAATTAACGCCGTTTATCATACGTACCCTGTGGATGGTCAAGATTCCATGTAGGGATGCCATAGATATATAGAATAAAAATCATATCCTAATGAGTGTATTCTATTTCCATAATAACTTGTTTCCTGTCAAAAGTGGTGGTTGCTGTTGAAAATAGCGGATATTTGGTTATTTATCGTGGAGAAATTAAATATTGTTGCTAAATTGGCCAAAACCATCACTTTGAATTTAAAACATCCCGCGAACGCCATCAACCCGTTCAAATATATACCCTACCGCGTCAACAGTATATACACGCGTAATCAGACGGTCAAGATGCCTCATCATCACCATCACGGCGACGACCATGGCTGTCACGGTGAAGCCGGCCATGATCACAGCAATGATATCACCCCCGCCCTGCAGTCTCTCCTCTACAAGCAGGTTGACTTCGACAAGATCGTGACCATGAACGAATCTGAGCCGAAGGCTGGTGCCGCCATTGTCAAGAAGACATGGGATCAACGACTAGACGAGGAGCCTCAGCTTGAAAGTGATGCCGATGAACAGCTGCTCATGCATGTTCCGTCAGTGATACCCCTAGCATACCCATCGTACAAACCATACTCTCCAAACAATATCCACTAAGAAGAAAAACTATCCCAGAGTCAAACTCGATGCTGACTTGATATAGATTCACGGGACAAGTAAAGTTACATTCTGTTCTGCTGTACGCTGCGCCGTCCCCTTCGGCTCCAAACACAGTCAAGCTATTTAGAAACAGACCCGACATGGACTTCTCCACTGCTGCAGACCTTGCACCCACTCAGACTATTTCTGTACCTCAGTCCCTTACCGGTTCTCAGGCAGATGTGATAGAAATGCCATTGAACAGAGCACTCTGGAACGGAACCACGTCAATCACGCTATTTTTTGAAGACAACTGGAGTCACGGTGAGGAGGACGTTACGAAAGTTGGATATGTGGGCTTCAAGGGTGATTTTTTGGCTTTGAATAAAGAGCCAATTACTTTCCTGTACGAAGCCGCTGCGAACCCGAAGGATCATACTGTGATCCAGGGGGTTGATGGAGTTGGCAAGACCATCGGAACTGGAAAGTGATTAGAAATTCTGTCTTCGGTCGACATTCAGCGATCTTCTCATGTTAATGACTTAAAACGCTAGACTTTTGCAGGCCTCCTTAGCTAAAGCACATTCAGATGAAATCTACAATTTCCATTCCGCCCTTGGTCTAAATTCCCGTAGGTGTCTCGACTGTATATATATACATATACACATATAGTTAGAGAGCGCATCAAATGCAGTCCAACAATGCAGAGAGTCCTGAAACTCCGGCAGATGTCGCTATGCAAGTCTAAGGTTAATAAAGTGAAAGAAATATCCTCCCAACGGCCACCTTGCTGCTACTCCGCAATAGTTTCTCGAACTCTAGCAGGAGCTCTTGCAGGTTCCGATTCCTGCGCTTGTTCTGCCTCATTCTCCAATGTGGTTGTCGGCGCACTGGGAAGCTTCACTCTGTTTGTTACTTGAAGCTCAAGCTTCTCAAGTTCATCCTCTACCTCCTCTTCGTCCTGGTTGGAAATTTGCCCCTTTAGGAGCTGAGAGATTTCCTAAATGCAACCGTTAGAATTCAAGCCACATAAAAGCCAACTATGTATCACTGATCTTACCTCTTGATAAGCTCTTGCTTCCTCTGTTTCACCCATGAGTTTCTCAACGCCTTCTATACCGCCCATTTCACGATGTATAGCCTGCAACACCTTGTTGCCCTGGCTCAAACCAAACAGGATATCCTTCTGTACCAACGCAAACTCTACACTACCAGTCAACTTCTCCAACTGCTCAAGCTGTAGATCGGTTTTTTCTAGTAGAGACTGCTGGTATTTCTTCCTTCGTAGAGCTAATAGTGCCCGAGGACGGTCGTTCCGCGCAAGACATTGCTTGGCGATCTCGGTCTCACGATCCGTAAGAACCGTTATCCGCTTCTGATACTGATGAAGCTTGTCTCGTTGGTTCTTCAGGTCAAGTATGGCTCTGGTTTAGCTCCAATCAGTCAAGTCTGTTCATGAGGGTCTGCCGGGTGGGCAATGACGTTCGGCAGCACAAGGCAGAAACATACTTATCTTGCGCAGAAATCTTATGTGTGCTCCCTGTGTTCCCCATATTTGTTATATCCGTTCTTCCGTTCCCGGGATAGCCCTGACATCCTCCTCTTTCATTGCAGTTTACAGCTTTGTCCTCGCCGTCGTCGAAGTTGCCAACGTTGCTCAAATTGCTGCAGGTGACTTTCTGGTTGAAGCGTGAGCTTATCGATAAGCGGGCATTTAAAGTTTGAGTCGCTCTTCGGGAAAAATGAAATGCCGAAAGCTTAAATTTATATTTATTTTTTTCTTTTTCTTTTTTTTTTTCTCTCTTTTGGTGAATTATTTGGAAGACGAAGTTGTGGATGGATGAGAGGGTATTAGACGGTGCTGGGAATTGATAATGGCTCCGAGGCACCGCGGAAACAAGTCGACAAGCCTGGGACATGGTCTCGATAAAGAAGTATGCCAAGTTCGCAGCATGTGACGTTATCAATTGAACTAATGGAAAGCGCTCCAGATATACCAGGCAATCCGCAGGCTGGATGAACAGCACCTGGAAGGAACAGGGGAGCCTCTGCCTTTATATACGCATATTTTATACGATAAATTACGGCGATCAAATTCAGTTTTAAATCGCAGGCCAAAGAAGGTGTTGGAAGATAGCATTGAAAGGGTGCTGGAATTATTGAAACAGGACCGAGCAGCAGAAGACGATGCTGATATTATAGAGGGAGACTTTGATGGCCTCGAGGAGACCAAACAACCTGAGGTATTGATCTTCTGACGACTCCATCTGCGTATGCTCTGTCATGGTCTAACAATGCTTTTAGGAACTAAATGGTCTCAATAAGAGCATCGTGAACATGTGGGCGCCTCAGGCCAAATCTGTATCGTCCCCGCAGAAGGGTTCAGAAAACATAACACCAGATATATCTTCGACACGGGTGACAGCAAGCAAACGTCGCGTAGTAGGGGGGGAATCGGCACCGAAAAGACGAAAACCAGAGAGCTCAATTGATAAATCGCCGCCATCACATGTGAGCTTGGCTGATCTGGGAGGGGTGGACGATGTCATCCAGCAACTAGAAGAGCTGATTGTTCTTCCAATGACACGGCCACAGATATTTTCTGCATCAAACGTACAACCTCCTCGAGGAGTACTGCTTCATGGACCGCCTGGTTGTGGTAAAACAATGATCGCCAATGCGTTTGCGGCTGAGTTAGGGGTGCCCTTCATTGCGATATCTGCGCCATCAATAATCTCAGGGATGTCCGGTGAATCAGAAAAAGCACTGCGTGATTACTTTGAAGAAGCCAAGAAGGTGGCGCCCTGTCTAATATTTATGGATGAAATTGATGCTATCACGCCGAAGCGTGAGAGTGCACAGCGGGAAATGGAGAAACGGATTGTTGCCCAACTGCTCACCTGTATGGACGACTTGGCTTTGGCGAAAACCGACGGGAAACCCGTAATTGTGTTGGCAGCTACCAACCGTCCCGACAGCCTTGATCCTGCATTGCGCCGTGGAGGCCGATTTGATAAGGAAATCAACCTGACAGTACCCAGCGAGCCCGTAAGAGAACAGATCCTCCGGGCTTTAACTAGGGAAATGAATCTGGCGGATGACCTGGATTTTAAATTCCTTGCAAAGGGGACTGCGGGCTTTGTTGGCGCTGACTTGAACGACTTGGTTTCGACTGCTGCAACCGCTGCTATAAAACGGTACCTAGATCTGTTAAAATCCGCTACTGGCGAAGAAATGGATATTGAAGAACTACCTCCGGTTGGAGTGAGCAAGAAAGTTATGGAACTGCGCCAGCTCATAAAGCGTGCCCGTGAGACACCTCACGAAGCTGATCCGCAGATATACGTGTCCAACGAAGACTTCCTCACTGCTCTTCCCAAGATTCAACCGTCTTCCAAACGAGAAGGGTTTGCAACTATCCCTGCCACCACCTGGGCTGATATTGGATCCCTTGGCTCTGTACGCGAAGAACTTGTTACAGCCATTGTCGAACCGATACGAAACCCTGAGATTTACTCTCGAGTCGGAATATCTGCACCTACCGGTGTCTTACTCTGGGGTCCACCGGGTTGTGGTAAGACTCTGCTTGCAAAGGCTGTGGCCAATGAGTCTCGAGCAAACTTCATTAGCATCAAGGGTCCTGAATTACTTAACAAGTATGTGGGAGAGTCTGAACGTGCTGTTCGACAGGTTTTCTCTCGAGCCCGGTCTTCGATTCCATGTGTAATCTTTTTCGATGAACTAGATGCTCTGGTCCCTCGACGGGATGATACCATGTCAGAAGCGTCGGCACGCGTCGTTAATACGCTACTTACAGAGCTTGACGGGCTTGGAAGCTCGAGAAACGGTATATATGTGATAGCTGCTACCAACAGGCCTGATATAATTGATCCAGCCATGCTGCGTCCTGGTCGCCTTGAAACACTGTTGTTCGTGAACTTGCCAGGACGAGACGAGCGAGCAGAAGTGCTACGGACACTCATACGAAAATTGCCTATTGAAATGACAGATGAGCTAGCAGAGCTTGCTCGATCATGCGAAGGGTTTAGCGGAGCGGACCTGGGCTCTTTACTACGGCGAGCGGGTTATTCCGCGATTAAGAGAAGAGATACAATTAAATTCGAAGACTTTGTTGCTGCAAAGCGAGAGATACGGCCTAGTGTAACGGATATGAAGAAATATGAAAGCCTTAAGAAGCACTGGGGAGGTGGTAGTGCTTTTTAGTTATGGAAAATAAATCGCGCTGTTCGATTAAATTTTTGCATTGCATATTGATACCCCCCCCCCTTTTTTTTTGCAATAAAATAGACTAGACCCTCTTCGTTGCCAAAAGAATTTGTTAGATTGACTCTAAGTATAGATTGGTGCTTCAATTGGGCCCTTTTTTCCTCTCTAAACTACATCCAAAGTCTACATGTACCATCTGCGCCGGCACTGACACACCATGCCTCCCTAGGATGCCAGTCAACATCCAACACACCCAAATCCCCAACAACCTTATGGCCACGAAGGACTTTTAATGGAACAATATTCGCATTGCTCATAAGATCTCCCGTTACACTGCCGTGGAAGATCTGAAGAAGACCGTCATCACTAGAATCGATAAAGAGAGGATATCGAGGATGGTATTTCACAGCACGAATAGCCTTGGTATGGTAGCGTAGGGCCTTATACGGCCGATCAGATAGGTCCACGTCATGCCATAGCAGACGACGATCATACGATCCAACAATCAGGTTATCCCCTGAGGTAACAGATGAAGTCGGATGAATATCGAAAGAAGAAATCCAGCGGGCACCGGGCTGTAAGATCTTGAGCAAAGATTGGCGAGTAAGGTCGTAGGATCGAATTACGCGTTGGTTGGCGACGTAGAGGATAGGTTTTGCTGGGTGGAAATGGGCTACCTGGGGAGGACCACCTCCCTTGAGCCGTTTGCGGAATGGGTATTGTGTCGAGTGTTTGGAAAGGGTATGGATAGCAATTGCGAGGGAGGCGGGAGTTGCTGACGCGGGGCAAACGGTGACAAAGTAATCACCACGTCGATGCCATGATATGGATTTAACGACATATCCCAGTGGGATAGTCGCATATACCCCGTTTTCAGCGAGGGAGGGTAGAGGCCGGGCCCATTGAACTTTGGATCCTTTCTGCTCGCTGTTCTGAGAGTTCTTGGATGCTGTGGAAGAGTAACCCCATCCAGCATCTACGACGTCAAGACTGGCTGATTCAAGTTCGGGGCTCAGGATATCTGGTATAATAAGATGTACAGCATCCCCCGTTGCTGCAGATAGCACAACAGCGTCCTTTCCAGGTCTCCACCGAACAACATTGACGGGCCCTTCATCGTTCAATTGCACACTCCAGAGTTGACGGCCTGTTAGAAGTTCCCATACTCGAACAGTTCCATCATCTCCACCGCTGGCTAACCAGAGTCCTGTTGGATCAACAGCAACACTCCGGACGCGTCCCTTATGACCACGGAATAGTGCTGAGCAGGTAGTTGGGAAGGGTTTCAGCTCCTCGGGACTGGGCAATTTTGGAAGCAAACTCTCTGGATCAATATTTAGCTTATTCCTGCGAACTCTGGGTGCCAGGTACAGGTCAAGACAACGTTCGAATTTCTCCTTGACAAAAGCTTCGAACCCAGGAACTTTCCTGAGCGAGCCGTAGTCTCTAGGCAAAAAAGACTTTTCACGGTCCTCTGGGTCCTGTTTCTCCCATTCCCGTCTCTCCTTCTCATCAGGAAGATACTCGGGAGGAGGATGGTAACTCTCCTCGTACCCTGGCGGTGGTAGCTTTGGTGCGGGTATATGCATAGGGTGGTCATCTCGGGGTGTCTCGTTGGCCCATAGATCAAATGTTTGAATGCTATCCTGAGATTCGTCTTCTTCTGCCGGTGGTTTGTATGGCAATATTCTTCCCTCTCGAATCGCCTTTACTATCTTCATCACTCGCTTGGCTTCGTGTTTTGATGGTACGAATCTCCTCTTCGGCTCAGGAGCAGCGCTCAGTGGCATAATCTCCTCCTTGCTTGTGAAGTATTCAACTGTGGGCTGGTACGGGTCATACCCATCCTGAGTGACCTCGTTCATCTGGAGTTTGCTGAGCAGTTTGAGCTCATCCTGGCTCAATTGCAAAGGCTTGCCCGTGTCCGGGTCGGTCAGTCCAGTCCATCCCTTGGGTATTTCAATCGTATCAAGCAGCGCATCCAATGCCTCCCCCTTAGCTGGGCGCATGATCTTCTTTCCATTGATGTTATATCCGATATGTGGGTAGGCGTCATAAAAAGAAGTAGGGATATTGCCAATCGTGTTGGCCTCCTCGTCGACTTCGGACAGGTCCGAGTTATCATCGGGGTTTATCTCATCGTAAATGTACCTATCGTTGCCATTTGCGTCTTTCGTTATGCGGTAGTTGACAGTCTCTTCATCTTCGTCCTCTGAATCCTGAACCACAACATCACCCGATTCTCCTAGCTTTCCATTCCTAGTGTGAACCGGCAACTCCCCCTTCGAGACCAGATTACTGTCTATTGACTCGTCTTCGCTCTCGTCACTGAAGTCGTCTATCAGCTCAATCTCTGATTCCTCGTCTGAGCTCTCTGAGCCGGATGAATCGAAGCGAAATTCCTCTCCAGAAACGGCATGAGTGTCTGATTCAACGTCTTTTGTGACAGCCTTGCGCTTCTTAGACTCCGTCAACGGCGCCATCTTTAGAATCTCCCACTGTCTGGCCTCCTTTTCGCCTGTTCTTCTCCTGCTTCTTCTTTTCATTGACTTTTTTGTAGATTTTTTTTTCTTAAAGTCGAGCAAAAAAGTGGGCCCAGGAAGGAAGTTGCTTATATAAGAAGTTAAATCTGACGATGACATCAAAAGGTCGAAGGAAGCCAAAAAAAGAAAAGACAACTTTCAACCAGTTATCCAATATTTGCTACATTATTATTGAGCGACAGATAGTACTCCGTACTAGCAGGATAAAATATCCCAGTCTACTATATAGTTGTGGCTGGAATTTAGACCGATGGCAGGCGCAGAGCAGGGGGGCGTTAATTGGCTGGACGAGGCCATCAGGGAGGCAACCCGGCAATCTAGGCAGCTGGAAGAAACGCCCAAGAGACATGCGGCCTGTGATGAGTGTCGTGAGTGTTTACTCCGTAGTAATCCTAAGTCATTTTCAAAGAGGATACTAACATTCATTAGGAAAACGAAAGTTAAAGTGCACGGGGGAAGCAGACGGGTGTACCCGGTGCTATAGACATGGCCTATACTGCCATTATTCGTTTCAGAAGCCGATGGGCAGACCACCCAAAACATATGGCAGTCTAGCTGCACTCGGCAATGGAACAGGATCTCCGAGTGTGGGGTTGACTGCTGAAGACCCTAGACTGGCCTATGGCACACCGGATGCGCTGGGAGCACTGGAAGCCAGCAACATGTGCCCTGCAATCTACAAGACCTTCATGCAGAATACGTATGACATTCGACCTGGGCCGTTCATGAGTGATGGACCCTTGTTAGGAAGTAGTGGGTTTCTACCAAATGCTACAGCAGGGCAACCTACAGCTACACCTGCGGCAACAATACCTAGAGACATAGACTATTCTGCTATCTCATCGATGCTTGCACCCACACCAGGAATGACACCAAGCACAAGCACGGATACAAATACAACTTCAACATCCACAAGTACAAATACAAGCACAAATACCACCAGCTCTGGCCCGTCAGGTTTTCCCCAGGTACTAGCACCATGCTCCTGTCTGTCCCACCTATACCTATCCCTAAGCTCCCTTGCAACACTTAACTCATTCCCCCTCTCCCCCAACACACTGACAACACTTTACAACGCCTCTAAGATCGCCATTGGGGTCCTTAGATGTAACGTCTGTCCTACTGCTTATAGTTCTGCAGTTCAGAACCTGATGCTACTGGGCACCTTGCTCACCTGCATAGCCAATTCATGGCTCGAGATGTTGTTACGGGATGGCCAACAGCTGGCAATGGAAACCCTTGACCGGGCCTCTCTTGACTCATTACCGACTGAAGAAGCAGCCCGAACTGTCTACTTCAAGAACTGGCTGCGTGAGCTAGTACGGTATAGTGTGATAGGGCACGCAACCCCTCCCAAGGCACCGCTTGTGCAGAGCCAATGTGAAGAAAGCCCGAATGTGCTCGGGCTGGTAGAGGAGATGGAGGCGCGACAGAGGCGGTGGCATGCTGAGCGACTGCCGCTGGTTAATCCTAGTTGTCCACAGGAAGATGAAAACGGTTTTTCATCAACTAAGGCGGCTGCCGCTTTCACTGATGATACGGCCAGCGAGTCGAAAGCTCCTGATTTCCTGTGTTTGCGGATAGCTGGTAATGCGAGACAGATCATTGAACGGTTCGGATTCAGTGCAGAGGAGTTACAGAATAGAAACTAACTTTTCCGGCTGTAAATAGAGTGTTGGTAGTACATACTTAGCATTAAGTATATATATTTTCAGTCGACTCCTGCTGGGGGTAGGGGTTATGCATATTCAACTCGTGGTTGTAGTATAACCTTTTATATTGTCATTCACTTTTCTCATAGCTAGAATACATGTGCATGCACCATTGAGTATCTGGGTATTCTCCATATTTGGTATATTTTTTTTGGCAGTTTGTCTATTAGTTTTGAATTCGATGGGTGTTGGTAACAACTGTGGTATCAGGAGGGAAATCAGGAGTTAGGTAGATAGGGGCAGAGGAGAGGGAAATAGAGATCGAATGGAAGGTAGAGACTACTCATCGTCGTCGTCATCAACGACGTATCTGTGCTTCTTCCGTGCCTGGGGTGAAGCCTCTTTCTGACCGGGCGATTGTGGCCTGGATGATTTACCACTGGGCTTCGCAGGCTGGACGTCGTCATCAATCTCACCCTCAGCGTCCATGTCTTCATCCTCTGCTTCTTCCTCCTCTTCATCCTCGTCTTCTTCGATCTCAGGCTCCTCATCACTTCCAACCAGAAACCCGTCATCTTCATCATACTCGTCTTCACGCGTGCGGCCTCTCCGGTCGTAATCATCCTCTTCATCAGAATAAATCTCGTCACGACGGCGGGGTTTGCGAGCACCGGGCCGCTTTGCTCCAGGACGGGATTTGGTACCGACACCCATGTCCTCGTCTCCTTCGAGGCCGGCGATGGTAAGACCTGCTGCCCCCGAGCGCTGGAAGGCGGTACTTCGCCTGCCACGATCAACTTCTCGCTCAGCAGCAGCCTGTCTCTTACGGGCTTCACGCAGTTTCTCTCGTTCAGCCTGTTCGGCCTGCTTCTTCGCCAGCTCTGGATCCTGCTTGACTTCGATGATTGCTACGGATCCGTCTGCGGTCTTCTTGCCACTTCGTGAAGCTGCGGCGAGGGACTCTTGCAGTCTCTGCACTGCATCGTCTGTCTCGACTGTGGAGGGGAGAATGCTGAGGGAGGCGGTGATGCGCGAAGTGAGACGGATGACCGAAGATGCTTCTGCTGCCACACCCAAGTATGTGTGAGACTCCAGATCGGGGTCGTACTCTTCTCGCTTACCGGGCCGGCTGGACTGCGCGAGAGGTTTGGATGATATCCGGTACTGTTCTGTTGGGTTCGAGGCAAGCTGGAGGGTCATGGAGCCATCTGACCAGCGTATTATCCTGGCATTGGACTGGAGCTCGCTACCGTCTGGACTGGTCCTCCAACAGAGCGAGGTGGAGGCCGATGAAAAGGGCGGAGCAACGTATGTTTCTGGGTTGAAATCTTCAGACTCTATCGAGAGGAAGTTTGGAATAGCGCAATTGAACAGCTAGGAGGAGTACATTAGCATGTATTAGACGGTATCCCTGTTGAGGTTTCTGTGGGTACCAACCTGTCCGTCTGTGGTCTCTGGCTCAGGAGCTCGTCCAAGGCTCAGGTCCATGATATTCAGTGTCCGGCCGTAGTCCATGCCGTCTTCTTCCATGGGAGACCCGACACGGTCGTATCGCCCTTCGTCGTCGCCGGAGTCGAGCTCGACGTCGTCCAGCCTCCGCCGTCTGTCTTGCCTGTCCAGTCAGTCAGTATCTGCCCAACCACAGCGTATCTGGAGTCAGCGCAACCTACACATCTTCCTCGTCCTCCTCCTCGTCTCCAGAGCCAAACAGGCCCATGTCGCCGTCGTCGTCCAGCGCTGGCGGGCTGTTCTCCAAGGCCTCGTCCTCGAGCTCGTCCTGCGCCTTTCGCGGCGACTCGTCCACGTCCATCGTCGAGGCAGCAAATGCACCACACTGACTATGTGAAAAGAAGAGGGCAATAGCAGCAACAAGAACCGTCTCTCAGCTGTCTCTCTGTCTGTTAGTCTGTCTGGCTGGAGCTGTCAAAGATGAAGCTGTCTGTCTGGAGGTGAAAACCGGCCCTTAGTAAATCCGAGATGGGTTCAAAGGTCAAGCCTAAGGTTTGTCACAGACGCTGGCTTCACCCTGGATGATAACAAAACAGACACGGCATATAAGACAGAAACAGTACAGCAGTGAGGAAGAAGCAGAAGAAGAAGAAAGAAGAAGAAGAAGCTGGACAGGCAGAAGAGAGAAAACACAGCAGAGAGGCCTCCCAGTGACTGACAGACAGCCCTCTGCCCTTCTGACCCCCCTCTGCTGCTGCTATCAAAAGGACCCTGGATCTCACCAGCCAGATCTCCCAGTGCGCCCGGACAATGTCAAACTTCTTCCAGAGCGTGTAAGTGGCCTCCGACGGGCCTTTGATTCCCCTGCTTCGCTTGTCCTGGCGTGCGAATACTGACTGCAGCAGGCGGCAGGGCTTCGGTCGCGGGTCGAACAAGAGCAGCAACAACACCGCCGCCGCCGCCAGCAGCGCCGGCAACACTGCCAGCAACACGCCCAGCGGCAGCATCAACAGCAACGCCGCCGCCAACAATAACAACAACAATAGCAGCCCCGGCGGCCACAATAACAGCAGCAACACTCACAGCGGGAACAATGGCGGCAGCAGCCTACAGCGGACGGTCGACGGCGCGGGCTTCTCGCCTGGCTTCCCCCACGGTCAAGCAGCAATGCCCGCCCCTCCATCGGCCATGGACCAGCCGCCCGCTCAGCCCGACCAGCGCGACTCGATCAAGTACTTCTTCCAGGAGAAATACGCCTCGCTCAACGTCAAGGGCAACTTCCTGACCCTCTGTGCCTGTCCGAAGAACGTCGAGCTCGGCGAGTGGCTTGCTCACCAGGGTCAGTTGTTCCCCCCTGTTTCATCTGCCAAATCTACCCATGCCAGATATCCAAGGGAGAGCCCACGGCTAACACATATTTGTCTACAGTTGTCGAACAGAACCGTCTGCTCCATGGCATGCTGCAGGTCATACAGGAGATCAACGGTGTCACCGGGTACCCGATCTGTAACGAGATGACATGTCCCACCATGTCTGCCGGGAAGTATGTATATATAATCTGTGAATGTATAACTCTGGTTCTTTTTCCTATGCTAACAAATATACAGTCTGACGTACACTTGGCTGGTCGACGGCAAGGCAGCAAGGATATCGGCGCCCAAGTTCATCAACCGTGTCGAAAAGTGGATTGTCAGCAAGATCCACGACCCAGTCATGTTTCCTACTGACCCCGTCACCGCAACTCCCATCACCTTTGGCTACACCGAGCAGGCCAACGGAGAGGCCCCCAGCGGCCAGCCACAGCAGCAGGCTGCCGGCGACCCATCACAGGACTGGATCGGCAAGTCGAGCGGCTTCCCGCCGACCTTCTACAAGGACTGCCAGGGCATCATGAAGCAGATGTTCCGCTGCTACGCCCATCTCTACCACGGCCACTGGGAGAACCCCTTCTGGCACATCAACAAGCACGAGGTGCTCAACATGTGCTTCGTCCACTTTGTCACTGTGGCCAAGTACTACAAGCTAGTGTCAGACAAGGAGCTCGAGCCCATGCAGCCCCTCATCGATATCTACACCAAGCAGGAGAAGATCCCACCTGAAGCCCTTGCCGGTCACTGGGCTCAGCACTCCTCGCAGTCTTGATATCACACATGAAAAACCGTAAGATTTAACAAGAAAAAAAAAAAAAAAATCAACAAATAGGGACAAGCAAGCATTGAAAAAAGGGGGAACACATGGCTGGCTACCTGCTGGTGGAAGTTCTCTGGTTAGCTTCCTGCGTTATCAGCCAGGAGTTAGCGTGTCATTTGGCGCTTGAGCTGAGGCATCTATCTGACTGGGATATGGATGATTTTCTCTTCTACTTCTTCTATTTGGTCTCTTTCTCTTCTCCTGGTTCTTTTCATGATATCTATTTAACGTGCTATCTCCATGAAGTGGACGTCTCCATCTGCCAGACAGTTTTTAGACTAAACAGTCAAGCAAGCGAATCTCATCCTCTTTTTTACTTCTCTATGCTTTCTCTACCAACCAATGCCATCATTCAATGAATCTCCTTTGCCATGAACTTTGTATGTGAATATTGGAACCAAAATCCCACTTCACGTGATGATAAAAAGCCTGCCAAGTCCCAGATAGGAAATCAGCTTTGTCTTTCGCTTTTTATTATTTTTCTTCCTGCGGGCAAAGCAGATTCTTGCGACTTGCAGTGATTGCGACTTCGATTCTACGCATAATACCGTATGCCGCAGGCAGCAGGCTGGTTGAACAGGTGAGTTGCTGGCGCGGGAGTGCAGAATTGGCCGTTGGGCGCGGAGAAAGAGGTGTACTTTTTGAGTCATCACTGACGGCATCCCTAGATAGCTACCGCAACAACTGCGAATTCACAAAAGAAACAAGGCTAATAGAGACCGTACTATAGACATACGCATATAAGATGACATCTACGACGGTATCCTTGTCTCCAGGGCTCTCGACCTTCCTGCGCAATCTCAAGATCAACTCGATCGAATCGTCTATAGAAACTCTCATATCGTCCGTACATATCACCCCGGTTCAAAAATGGCACCTTGACTGACAAAGGTATATAGCCTGCTTAAACGGAGACAAATACGTCAGTCGCACTCATGTGCGGTTGCTACAGTCTACCTGCTCATGCGGGTCGTCTCTACACACCGGGTATCTTCGCCGGAGCAGCTGATAGAGCGAGTCCAGCAGGTTGGCAGACTCATTGTAGCTGCTCAGCCCAGAGAGATGGTCGTAGGAAACATTGTCCGTCGAGTACTTGGTTTAATTAGAGATGAGTCAGAGGATAGCCGGTTCAAGGAGCCCACCTCACAGAAGGGGTCACATCAGCAGCAGCAACAATACAAATCTCTAACTCAGTCAAGCCGTGGACATGCGGGTACACGCTCACGGCATACTCCATACTCCCGGAGACGAGGTAATAACCAGGAGATCAAAGGCCTGTCCCCCTTTGATGCGAATGGACGGTACTTATCCCGGCCAGCGCTCATGACCCATCCATCCTTTTCTGGAGTGATGAGCACACCAGTGATATCCATGTTCAATCTCCTTTCTGAACCTGAGCCAGAAGAGACCGCCCAGCCTGAATCATCTCCCGTCGTATCAGAACCAGAACCGGAGCAGCCCTCTGAAGGAGATGATGCAGAGGCCAGCGACATAAAGGACTTTAAAGCTGAAGTCCTGGACGGTATAACTGAGATCGTGGATGAACTGCACCAAGTTGACGACCAGATCGCGGCCTATGCACTCGAACACATTCACTCAAATGAAATAATCCTTACATATGAATCATCTGTCTCGGTTCAGAAATTCCTTCTCAAGGCAGCTGCTCGCCGCAAGTTTACCGTCATACACGTGGAATCTTATCCCAACAGCCACAAGGACAGTCATGCTGCAGTCACTGGAACCCTGACGGGCGACGAAGAAGGCCTTGCAACGGACTCGTTCCAAAAGCCTCTGATTGCACTGGGCATCACAGTCATACTCATCCCTGACTCGGCTGTGTTTGCACTCATGTCACGAGTCAACAAGGTCATCCTGGGCACTCACTCTGTGCTCGCAAATGGCGGCCTTGTAGCCGCAGCTGGATCTCGAGTCGTTGCTAGCGCTGCCAAGGTACACAAGACGCCTGTAGTGGTAGTTAGTGGAATATACAAGCTCAGCCCTGTCTACCCGTTCGACTATGAGGCTCTTATCGAGTATGGAGACGCCAGTGCGGTTGCAGATTATATGCATAGCGATGTGGCAGAGAAGGTCGACGTGATGAACCCGCTATACGACTATGTGCCGCCCGAACTTGTTGATCTCTACATTACCAACGTGTGAGTATCACTTATAACCCTTTAGTTGTGATTATTGGCTGACTTTGATGTTCAGGGGTGCGCACGCTCCGTCATATTTGTACCGCATTGTATCAGACCACTACCGGACAGAGGACATCACTTTCTAATCGTTGAATTATCCCCCCGCGAGATTAAGATCCATATCCAGACGAACATGAGGCATGAGCAACGGGACCGACGTTGAAGAGAAAAATGGAATTTTTGTTAACTTGCACCTGAGCTACTGATTTAAATCGAGCGAATGCACAAGGATTCCACATTTACTGTGATCAAGAAATCTCGGTCTCTGTCAAAAGCAATTGTATCGTATGCCCAGCAGGGGAGTTTCATCCTTCACATAACCGTAGAATTCGTAGCAATTAGCAGCCCCTTCTGTATTGTTCCGGATCCATAGCCGTAGCCATAGCCATCGACCCAAACCAGGCTGTGTATCCTCACGTAAACAACCACGCCATCTCGCCCGCAACCACGAAATTAAGAAACCCGTCTAAGATCGTGGCTTCTCCTTCTTCTCCTTCCACAGAGCAGACAGACCGACACCAGAGACCTTGACGACCTTGAATCGCACACCGGGAATATCACCCTTGGCCTTGCCCTTACGACCGAAACCAGCAAGCAGCACCTCGTCGTTCTCGTCAACGAAGTTCAAGCAACCGTCATTGGGAACTAGAGCGCCATTAATTAGCCATGCTCACACTCAGCATACCACGCCACTCTTAATCACCCGCACCCCTCCACCCTCGTCAAAACATGATCCGGACAACGCCTAACAATTGAATAAAAGATCGACGTACCGAAAGCAGTGACTTTCTTTCCGTTCTTGACAAGCTGAACCTTGACACACTTTCGAATAGCAGAGTTGGGCTGCTTGGCTTCGACACCAACTTTTTCTATGACAATTCCTTTGGCGTGTGACGATCCACCGAAGGGAGAGGACTTGAAAGCAGTTCCTAGGAGACGCTTCTTGTAGTGCAAATCGGCCCAACGACCCTCGCGGCGATGGTTTCGCAGCTTGCGGGCGGCGTTAAGACCACGCGGCTTGCCTTTTCCCATCTCGACGTATTAACGTATCTATAGCTCGCTGCACGGGGTAAATTGTAAGTCGGAGAATCAATCTGCTTGATATCAGAGCTTCAAATTTTCCACATACGATAGGATGTTGTCAGGGATGAAAAGACCAACGAGCTGTTGTCTGTAGCTTCGTTGCGTTGTCAAGTGTCGTTGGTGTCGAAACGTCTTTTTTCTCCGCCGACAATGAAGTTTTGGTGGTTTTTTTTTTGGTGTTCGCTCAAAGTGCGTTTGGTAAGCGAGGTAGATGAGTAAGATATTAGTAATATACACTCAGTGACTAAGGAATGAGTCATGGCTTAATAAGCACTTACATAAGCAAGTCTGGACCACGAGCGAAGCAAACGCGAAAGAGGGAGAAAGAAGACGACGACGGAGACAGAAAGACAGAAAGACGAGAGAGATATCGAGCTAGGGCAAGATGAAGATAAAAGTAAACGGGTGAAGGCATGAGATAGCTTTAGAGGATGTCGCAGAGTGGCTCTTCTAGGCAAGGGAGGAGGATAGTCATCCAGACGCCGTCTCAGAACACTTCCAGGGCGTCTCTCGCCAACGCCAGGACGGGCCCAGGAACAGCAACAGGCACAGTACCCCAGACATCTTCGACTCACGCCTCCATTCTGAAGAGCATCCGAGACCTCCACGATATACACGATATCCATGATATCCAGAGCGTCCGAGACCTGAACCTAACCCACCCGCGAACCCAGCAGGATGCAGCACCTCCGCGGCCGGCAGAAGGGGCAGACGCCCTCTGGGACCAGATGCAGAGTGCTCTCGCCGAGGTAGAGCTTGCAGCTACTGGAGGCAGCCGTATGTTTGGCTCATATCACCCGGAAGTCGTGGAGAGTCTACGAGCCAAGCAGCTCGCGCTGGCTCAGGCATGGGGCAGAACGGAGGGCGAGGAAGTACCTAACAACAGCGGCAACAACAACAATAATAATAACTCGTTGAGTGGAAACACAACTGTGATGGAGATAGAACAAAACAAACCACGGGAAGTCCTGGACGAGAAGACTGAGAAGGATATCACGCACGCTCGAAAGCGGAGGGAAGCCAATGACAGGTACTTTGAGCGAGTGAGCAATGGTGTACTGGACGTCGTGGCGAAGCTGGAAGATGTGGCAGAGACGATGCGTGAGGTTGTGAGTAAAAGTAAGGAGATTTGGGCTGATAGCGGGAGTAAACAGTCCTCCATTGGTTCAAGAGCTGAGCAGAAAGCACCTGCTGATGCAGATGACTGACATACTCTATTCTCTACCTTCGTCGCGTAGAGATTTTGTCATAGCCGGATATTATGGGTCCCAGGTATTATACATGTACAATACACTCAAAAAGGTATAACTACCCTCCACGCGCCTTTCTGAACGCCTCCCTTATGTCCTCCCAGCTGAACTCATGGATGCTCCGTGCCATTGACTTCACCTCTTCATTCCATCTCATTTTCCATGTATCAACAATCGTTGGCCCCTCAGGTGGTGCGTAGCCTCGTCGTGCCAGTGCTGCAGCATAGTCCACCTCATCGCGCACGTTGTGTGTGGCAGTAGCCGGCATAGACATGTTGTTCAGAGAATCAATCTGTTCCCGAAGAAGATCTTGCTGCCGCTGTCTATCGGAAAGCTGTTTTAGCATCGTCAGCTGGATGATAGAGTAGGTGAGAGCAAGCCCGCCAGCCTGTAATGCGGTTAGTACAGGCAGTAAATCCATGGATGATTGCAGCAAAACGTACGAAGCCAGCAATAAAACCCATTCTTGTGATATCAGCAATCAAGTGGTAGAACCACCCGTATGCTCTTCAGACCATTTTCTTCTTTAATTGATCTCGTCGTCTGTGGATGTTCTTTTGGTTCTCCGAGATAGTTTTGTTTGGCCGTTGAACGGCAAATAATCTGCCAAGACTTTTTTCTCTGCTGACAATTTTTTGTTCAATCCAAGCTTCATCAAATCTTCAAGGAGGCAACTAAATCGACTTTATCACCACCAATTAAGCTGCAAACGCCGTCAGACTTGCTTTTAACGATACACAGCCTTCACAATGGCTGGCGGTGCAATGAAATATCGACATTTAGGGCGCAAGTCTTCACACCGACGGGCCCTGCTTCGAAATCTAGTCACGTCTCTCTTCACACATGAGTCGATAACAACGACATGGCCCAAGGCAAAAGAGGCTCAGCGGCTGGCGGAGAAGCTGATTACGCTTGGAAAAAAGAATACAGAGGCCAGTCGGAACAGGGCCATGACTTATTTCTTTGTACGTCCGTCAGGGTGGGAAGCTGGAGCACGATGTTTCAACACCTTAGCCGTGATCAAGAAAACTAACATCGGATAGGCACCACATAAGATGCTACCTAAGCTCTTTGGACCTCTTCGAGAACGATATATGGATCGACCAGGTGGTTACACCCGAGTACTGCGCATTGAGCCCAAAAAATCAGACCAGGCCCCCTCCGCCATTCTCGAGCTGGTGGATGGCAAGCGAGATATGCGATTTGCCATGACCGCCAGAACACTTGCTCACCAGCGAGCCTCAGGAGAAGAAGTAATGAATGAAATCACAGCCAAGAATGTGGAGAAGGTGACGAGGTTCAGACCTGACGGACAAGCCGCGCTGGAGAAGGAAGTGGAAAGATTATTCAATGAGAAGAAAGACCGTCGAAGCTGAGCGGCCACTTTTTTGCATTTATGTGCTTGCTCGTTGGCTCTGTTTCATGGCGTGCTGGGCTTGTATTTTTATGGTAATTGACTCTAGATGTCTCCTGACTTGACACTGCTGCTGGGTTGGCAGGTTGGTTGACTTATATATTTGTATATTATGATTTGTTCGTCAAATGTCTATTATCTGAACGCTCAGCTGTCGGCCCTCGCATCGCAACCTCAAGGATATCATTATATCTAATGAGTGTTACGCCGGTTGGGAGATTTGTTTCCGGAAGGACACCTTTTCTACCACCACATTCTCGGCCCCTTGCTCGTCCACCCGTATCTGATAGACATACAGCACAAGAACATCTCCTTGCACCTACGCCAAACCGTAAGCAATCCCATACACTACGAAGATTAGCGGCAGGTAAACACTTACATCCATCAAGCAGAAACTCGGAGTTGGCTCCTCCCCTTTCGACACCCTAGATGTAGTAAACGCCCCCGTTGCACTGCCAGGGTTAACAAAGTACCTTCCTTCCATCTCATATGCTTCGAATTTGTGCGTGCCTCCCCAAAGTAGTATATCAACATCCATCTGTCTAGCTGCGATCAGCAACGCTTCTGAATCGCCCTGCGGGATAATCGTGTGGCCATGCGTGAAACCTATGCGTAGGCTACCGTGCGTGACAACCTTAGCTAGAGGAAGATTCGGAGCATCGACGTCAAAGTCGCCCTTGACGACCTGCAGGTCCGGTGCTATTTGGCGGAGAAATTCATATGTGTCGCGATCTGTAAGGTTGCCTAGGCATAAGATCTGGCCGATCTTGCCAGGTGTGAGGAGTTTCTTGAACTATACAAGATGTTAGCCAGTAGAAGACAGCGATAGGGACAGAGACAAGATGAATTGACATACCTTTGCTGGGATATCCTGTGGGCAACAGAAGGATGAGGATATATTAGTATTGTTATTGTCGTACGTAGTTGCGCCAGGCTTCAATAGAGCTGCTTACTGGTGCTCTGTCGGGAATGAAGAGGTCACCTATGACCAGGACGAGGCGTGATGTCATTGTATATCATCAATATCGGCGTCAATATCCCATTATATGGGTTCGTCAGGCTAGTATCTGGTTATATTTGCTTGTTCTTGTCTTTGGCATCTTCTTCATCTTATCAAAACGTCACTTTTCGAGCTATCATCACGTGAGTGGAATTTGGCTGTAGCTTCATAGTCATAAACATCTACAGGAGATCAAAGAGGGGTGAGTTGAAAGTTGATGGTAAGCATAAAACAATCTCTTCTGTATTTAATATATCCACATAAATGAAGGAGGATGGGAAGTAATATAGTGAGTAGAGCTATTGGCCTCACAAGAAAGTTAGGAATATTAAGAATTTGTATAGGGGTGAAGGCAGAAAGGGATAGAGAACAGCCAACACCATAGACGCGCCCAAATTAAAGGAGGTTCAAGTGTTCCGCTATTCTGACTTGTAATCGGGGGAGATAAGCAGGAAAATAGGAAAAGCAATAGACAAGGTCGTTAAGATAGTCATAAGGGAAGCATGCAATGCTTGATCAAACACTCTAATGGAAAGAATATAAAATGAAATGGAGCAAAAAAAGGGTTGTTATGCAGCATCTATACATGCTCGGTTCAGTTTGGAGGCATTTTTTATCGATGCCTCTTTGCATTCTTAGTTTTCAACTCGTCTTTCCTGCCGACGGTATGCCGTCTGGTTGGTGTAGTAGGTATGGGTGGTCTAGCATGATGCTTCGCTGGACCCGAGATATGCCCCGTTGTTGGATTCGAAGCATTCGAGTCGGCACTTGGATCATCTCCGTCCTGAACCTTGACATCATCGAATGTATTTCCTTCGTCCTCAGAATCAGAGGAGCTAGGGCTAGGACTCTCGGATTCGGAGGGAGCTTCGTATTCGCCGTCGTCGCTTACGAGGCTAGGGGCCTGGTTTGACTCGACAGTATTAGGGCTGAGGTTGGGTGAATTGGATCCTGTCAGATCCATGTCTCGATCGGGTTCCGGATGCCGCCCCGCTGCTATTCCTGAGGAGTAAAGAGTTGGCGATGTCGATGTGTGCAACGGTCCAGGTGAGCGACGCGCGGGACCGCTTCGTTTGTCCAGTCCCTTGCGGCTGCCGGGTCGTTGAGGCTGGGAGGATGCATAAACGGTGCGGCTAGGCAGTCTATTATTCCGGATGCTTAGCTGAGAACTTGTCTGCCCGTGTGAAGTGTTTTCATCTGCTTCGCTGTCTGAGTTTTCATCTGAGAGGAACATGTCGACATCTGGCTTGGTAAGGGCATCGTTCACAACGTGGGATAGATCGATATCGATACCCTTCCAGAGCATGAGGGATGATAAGTGAGGTGTCTGAGGCGATGCCTTGAAAGTAGAAGCGGGAGAGACATCGGGCTTTTTAGGACCTCGTCTTGGAGTGCTTGATTTGGGTTGTAGTTGAGGCGAAGCATTAACGGATTGGATAGGGTTAGTGCTGGCCTTGATCTGCTGATTACTGTGTTTTGCCCCTTTCGCAGGATCAGTGAGGAGAGCAGACCGAATCAACGGATGAACATAGCCAGCGGGACCAGCAGCAGGCGGTTCACTCTGCCCACCTACAACAGTACCCGCCTCATCCACCTCAACAGGCTCACCGGAGGCTGCTGCTGCGGCATCGTGGCTGGCAAAACTGCGGTTATGCGCTATCCGGCAGTGATTGATAAATCCCTGTGTGCTGGAGAAGTTATCACGCCTGCAGTCAAGACAGACCAGCTTCACAAAAAGGCCGTCCGTCTTGCGTTTAATGATCATCGGGCCGGCCTTGTCTTTCGGAGGAGGGTATCCACTTGAAAGAGCTTGTAGTTTCGCACCAGCAGTGCCACGATGAGAGCGCGAAGAAGCCGTGGTTGCATCAGCCCATGATGCGCGAGTCGTTCGTCCATCTACCACGGGGCTCTTGCCAGCCCTAGAAGGCAGCGGCACTGCCTCGACCTCTCCACCATCGAATCGCGGATCCGGAAGAAGCCATCGTGCGTAATGCCGGGTATACGCTCCATCATTGGTACCCCAGGGAGAAGGAGAGGCTGGAGGACGAGGGCTGCTGCGCGGTGGCATGACGGCTGGTCCAGAGCCGTTGCTAACGGCCGCTAGAGGCCCTGTCAGGCCAGATCCAGGGTATGGAATCTCACCGCAACGACGCAGCTGCTCGAGCGCAACCTGACACTTTGCCATCTCCTGCTCTATCATGCGTAGTTCATCGTGCTTGAGCAAAACTTCAAGGCTGAGCTGTGACTCCAGGGTCTGACGCAGCTCTTCGGTATCCATGGTTCGCGCCGCTATGGGCTGCCGGAGGTCATGTAGTTCGGGTATATTGGCTTTGCTTGCCAGTTTGGTAGCTAGGTCGTAGTCCGGGTCTAGCCCGGACTCCGCAACGTCTCTTGACTGGGCTATGATGTCGTTATCTGCAGGCGCTGTTGACTTATGTAGAGCAGCTATCTTGGAGTCGCCAGCGGCATCCTGCGAAGTCACTTCTGATCCAGCAGAATCGGACCTTTTCCGCTTCAGTGTCTGCGACTGCGACTGCGACTGCAGCTGTGATGATGACGGGTTCTGTTCTCGTACGGCCATCTCCTTGACTGGGTGCTTCTGCACAGTGCCCGTTACCTGTTGAACCCTAGCAATGGAAGACCAGGGTAGCAGACGGAACATGCCATATGAAAGCGCCTTGCAGAGAGGAGACAGCTGTGTATCGTCGAGTTCTCCGGTACGTAACAAATGTATCAACGTCTAGGGCACCACATGCAGGCTGGCTCTAGGGGGCCACCAGGGCAATCAGGAACGGTGTCTTTAGAGCGCCCAGGCGTCTCTTGCGAGCCTCTTTCTCTTGAACACCGCAATATCTGTCTTCACCGGGACGACCGAGCTGTAGAGAGGTGGAAAGAAACCGGTGCCGCGCGGAAAAACGGGCTGTTTCAGGTACGACCTGAGCGTCGCTGCCTCGGCGGCGACGTGTCCGGACACTTCAAGGCCGACCAGAGACGAGAGATCGCTACAGGCGGTGTCAAGAAGCCGGGCAGAGGACTGTGAGAAGCGCTGTCAGGAAGCGCTGGCCGTGGTATCGAAGGGCGCGCAAGTTGGCGGTTTTGAGGTTCGAGGTTGCGTTGTCTTGGGTCTCGGACGGTCGGGCTGGCTGGTGACGTTTGGCTTGGCCAGGGGAGATAGATGCAAGCTAGCTGATGAACTAACGACCTGCAGCGCAGCGGCCACCCCAGCGCAGCGATAGTGAGGCAAGAAGAGGGATGTGCGATTGTCTCAATCGTACCAGCAGCCAGGGAGATACAGAGGCAGGACGGTGATGGTAGAGACTCCGGGTGGTGAAGTCATAGACGCAGAGTGAAGAAGTTGAATTAAAGTAATGAATAACACAGCAAGGGGGGTGATGACTAAGCATGGCTCGAGCTTTTGCTTTTTTTATTTATTTTTTTTTTTCTCTATATTTGCTTCGGCTTGAAAAAGAGAAGAAGCAGACGATAATAACACTTAACAGGAGATTATAGAGTGAGATAGTACCTGGAATATGCCTAAACGGTTTTACATGTTGTTGTTTTGTTGATGACCTTCCAATCGACTTATCCGGCATGTATATGACAATAGATGGTCACTCATTATAGGATGTAACTGTGTAAGTTTGCTAAGATATGATATATAAAGGGGATATTCGGGAATAACTGCCCCAGAGCTCACTACATACACTGCCTGAATGTCGTCGTATTGGTATGCTACATTAAACAGGGTGCCATATACTTAGACAGTTGGGGGTATCGACATAGCGGGACATATAATATATAAACCCAACCTGAGCAACAGCTTTGATTACTGCACAGGAGAGAGTACTTCAGTCAATTTGAAAGTTGGTACCCCGTAATACTGCATATATTACTGTTTGCTATGCCTAATACAGCTAAAGACATAATATCTATAGTCAAGTGAGATAATATTAACAGAAATCCAACAATGCACGGGAAATGGAATGGATAGAGAAAATGGCTTTATGCAGGATGATATAATATCTTTATTATGGCGCTTCCCTAGCCAATCGGAAGGCAAGCGGACGTGCAAGGCTTCGTACATATCAACGCAAGGCTGCCAAAACTGAGAATTGATAAAGAGACCGTCACGATGGCCGACAGCTGCTCGCCCGTTCAGCTGTATTATAAATGAATCTTTATACCGCTGGGAACGCACATCGCAAGCTAAAGCAGAACAGAACAAAAGTCATCAAGTACAGGTACACGTATAGAAACCCAATCACCTAAATCACCAGCATAGACAGACAAATCCAACCAGACAAACCAACGTCCGAAGTATTCCAAAAACTAGTGCGTCGATTGCAATTCATCTCGAATGCATCTATTTAGCGCCACCCTGCTTGAACCTGAGGACGAAATTGACAACGACAGCGGCCAGCAATGCAACAGCCAGCACCGTAGGCCCAAACCGGTCGTCGAAACCGCTCTGCCCGCGTCTCCTAATACTCTGCGCTCGCCAGTGAAACGTCACTAGCGCATATATCATCGAAGCCATTGCCACGAATGTGAAGAGTGCAGCACTGATCTGGCCTACGCGGTCGCCGAAGTTAAGCAGGCCAATAGCCAGGCCGCCGAGGATGATCGTGAAGTTGAGCCATGAGAGGAACGTTCGCTCGTTGGCGAAGAAGACCTTTGGCTCGACGCGAGTTGGCAACGCAATTCTCTTGCCTGTGTTTATCATCATCGTTCACCTCAGTGGTTAGCTTTCAACCCTTTATCCATTCTTTTGTGCTCTGCTTGCTGCCCTTCTGTGGCAGCTAGTTCTGGTCCAATCGGCAACTTACCTGGAGCGGACTGTAGGAGGGGCTGGCTTGACATGGTGACTGGCGGCAAAAGACAATCGAGGGGTGGCGGGTTCACCCGGTCAGACGTATCTGTCGAACACTCGGCTGTAGATATGTAAAGGCAGTCAAAACTCCAGCTGAATCTCGCGTCGTCGATGGTTTTTTCTTCGGCTTCTTCGACTCTCTCGAAAAGCTTCTTTTGCTTCTTGCCACTTCGGGACAAAAATCCATCACGTGGCAATTAAGTAGCTGTCACATGATTATTACTTACTAATTTGACAAAGCGGTCCAAACACAGTATTACATAACTCAAAGCTAATTATACACAAACGGGCAGTTACATAATCCATTGTTATTCTCACAAGTAAACAAGACGACGAGGAGAAAAGTTGCTAGTCTTACCAGTGATCGAGAGAGATACAAGTTGCGTATCGCTGCGGCGGTCAATTGTCTTCATCCGTATAGTCGAATACCCTCATTTAACCTCGCGCAGGACCGCCGGAGTCATGGCAGTTGAACCGCACTCCAGCTCGGTATGGTTACCCCTGTGTCCTGCTAAGCATCCACGGGCCCCTTACTGACCGCTCGCAACCATGACTTATAGCCAATTCCTGTGGAACAGCTTTCCAAGATCGCTGCTGAGGTATTCAGACCTCTCACTCTCCCGCCCAGATCTCCTTCGCCCCGCTACAAGTTACTAACGCACTCAGGCATGCGACTCCACACTCGAGGGTGTCGAGCAGTATGAACATGAAAAGGTCTCCGAATGGAGCGCACAGATTATAGTTCGTCTTATCTAGTTTTTTCGTTGCTCAATAACCCAGCTGACTAACACTGGATATAGAACCAAGTCCTTCGATCACTCATATCATCCATCTCCTCAGAGGAGGCGGATAAGGGAGAGGAGAGCAAACCTGACCCTAAACCCACATATCGATTCAACGTTACGTGCACGATCATTCAGCAAGGATTCTCAAGCAAGGAAGGCTCCACTAATGTTGAAGCTCGAGGACGACGAGGCATGCACTGTGCATCAGGCGCATACTGGGATACCAAGCATGACGGCATGTGGACGTATAAACATCCTGTGGCCGAGGAGAAGGGGATGGACCTAGTGTTGAACATTGTCTGGTTTGGCTCTCTGAGATGAATCCTATGGGGGAAACGTGCTGTGTTCTTGTTTTAGGTCTTGGAACGGTATAAAATTTGAATTCTCCTGGATGGAAATGTGGTGAATTTTTTTGGGAGCATAAATGATTACATAGGATAATGGTCATTACTTCTATTACGTAGATCTTTTAAGATGTAATCGCTGCTTTTGAATGCCTACTACTGTTGCAAGATAGAACTATATATTGAACTTATTTCATTTCTGATGTGTTAAATCAATCATACATACAATCAATTCCTCCATACACCAACAAAATATCGATAGCAACGCCACCATACATTCAACGCCAGGCTAGAACATGATTACTCAAAGAGAGAGAGAGATGTAGATAGGCATCAAAAAGGTATACAACCTAGCTTCAATCGAAGAAAATACCGTCTACCGCGGCTCGGAGTAATCATTCAGGGCAACGCAGACCGCGCCACGATGATGGCCTTGATACTGCCGGATGATCTGCCCTGACGAAAGCTCCCATAGACGTGCACAATGATCACTAGACACTGTAACCAGGTATGCAGAGTCAGCCGAGAAAGCACAGTCCCATACCCATCTTTGATGACTGGCTAATGTAGTTTCCAGGAAAAGCGTATTTGTGGTGTGGTCCATAGGTGGTCCATCAAGAAAAGAAGAAAATGGCTGATCCGAAACAAAGCTATCATTCTGGGTAAGTTCCGAGGCAGATATTTCTGTACTTCCGCCAGATGCGATGATTGAACCGCTGGCTGGAGACCCCTTTCCATTCCATTCTGTTCGGGTCTTGGGCGGTGTCTTTATGGCTTCACCTTTTTGTCCGTTTGGAGAAGCAGTAACAGAAGTAGCAGCGGAGGCGGGTCCAGGAGTTTTTTGGGCGGCTTCCTTGGCTGCCTTCTCCCTGGCGGCAGCGGCCATTTTTGCTGGCCCATATTCTGGATCTAAGGACCAAACCTTGGCTGTATGATCTGCTGAGCAGGTTGCCAAATGCTTGACGTCTGGCGAGAGTAGTACTCTAGTCAGATAGTCCTTATGCGCTTGGAAAGTCGCAACGGGGACAATGCTTGTTTCATCTTGATTCTGCAACATTCTCCAGAGGTATACGTTTCCCTGTTACAGTGTTACCTGGTAAGCAAGGTTCATACAAATATACCAGCTGAAGAAAACTCATACCTTGTTATTTCCAGCACACAGTAAAGATCCATCACTGGCAACGCTAACACTAGCCACAGACACATCTTCCTCGGGTATCAATTGGTGGGTACATCTGCTTTCTCCCAGATCCCAGACCCGGATAAAGCCAGAGCCATCTCCGCTAATCAATTCACCTTGGTTGGGATGAATAACCACATCGTTCACAGGGGCTTTGTGAGTATAATTCCTCTGTAGTGTCCCAGACCTAACATCCCACACCTTCACCGTGCAGTCCTCGGAGCTGGTCACCATCCATTTTCCTTCACAGTGGAATGCGACGCCAGTGATATTATTTGTATGTCCATCAAACTTCATCACTGGGTTTGGGTTTGTAGATCGGATATCGTAAAGGTACACTCGATGCCTGCCCGCGGCGGCAACAAAGCGTTTATCTGGGGTGATGCATAGCCGGTTGACCTGGGACTCTGGGTGCTGGATGGTGCGGGAACATATGCCTGATAGGGCCTCCCAAAATCTAGAATTAAGTCAGTTACGCGGTCTCAAGGTTAAGATAGTTCAACACCCGCTGGACATACCGGATAATATGGTCATATCCCGCTAAACCCAGCACAGACAGCCAGTTAGCTGCATTGATAGATATTTATCAAAATGCGGGATGGTGACATACCTGTACAAAGAATCACACTCATGGCTGCGACGCGCGACGTGGACCTTCAGTTGTTATTTTCTTAGCTGGAGTAAGCTCATCACAGCTCAGTTCTTGTTTGGAAACCCTTCTTCCTTATGCTTTCTCCTTTCTTCACAGCTCTCTGTTCATCAAGAGCTTTCTATATTTCTTCTTGGTTTCTCGTGGAAGAATCTCGATATACTGCAGGTGGCCCGAGCGTTGACTGAAGTCGGAGAAATATTTTGCCGCTCAATTCAATCGGACCCGGCATCATATTATCTATCCTGGATATCTAGGTGTGATAAATATTTAAAATTCCAAAGACATTTATCCGTAAATAGAACTTCCATAACTCTATATTATCATCCAAAAAAACAGTCTATTTCATTGCTATATGGCGAGTTATTGGCCGTAAATATCCCTTCGACGCCCATAAATAAAGGTTCGAGTTAAATCGACGTATTATGTAACCGCAAGGGTCATTGGTCATGTGACTATCTGCTGGACAAAAATTGACAGAACTCAACTTTGACTTCCACGACATTAACATCAACAACTTCAACCACACCAACCAGCTAGACCGAGCAACATAACAAGTGGACAGCAGGGGCTATTAGTAGTGACCGCTTGGACTGGTCTCGAATCTTGCTTCCCTTACAGACTTGTTAAGTTACGGCTACAGGCTCGGAGAGGGGTTGTTGTTTCTCCTTTTGACTGATCTATTAGTCCTTGTGACGGATTGAATAGCATCAAAAGCCACAGCAGGATTGCACCGTGTTATGAACACGATGCAGTCCTCGCCATCAGAAGGTATTTATGCTTCTTTACAGACACTTCCTTGCTGTTTTTCTCCTATCCAAAGCCCTCATGAGCTGCGGACAGAAAACTCTCCCAACTCTCAGCCAGCTATGAATCAAGGCCAAGAGCTTACACATTTAATTGAACCACAGCTGCAGCACTTGTGGGGGTTTCCGGCTGAACCATACGTTACTGAGGGACTTGACTCACTCTCTGATCTGGGTCTTTTCGGTGATGGAAGTGATTTTCAGGATGCCTTGGACAGACTCACAGCCTCAAACGGAGGCAACGATAATGTCGATGGTAGCCTACTACAACACGATACTACGCTGAACGGCAACACAATCCCAGCGGCGGAAAATACGGAAACTCACGGTTACCAACCGTCACTCGACGAACACACGGGCGCCTTAACAGCGGGACTGGATGATGGTAAGCATGTGCTGAAAAGGTCTTTTGATTGCATAGATGATGCCACGAATGCCCGTACCGACGACACCTGTGAAACTTCTAAAAGACTGTGCAAATCACCCTCCAATACTCCTGGAACCATTCGAATTGCAAGTCCTTCGACCCTCTGCGATGCTACTTCCTGTCACTCTAGCGACGGCTCAATAGCTTCCTCTCACAATGGGTCACATCTTGCTCTACTTCAACGTACGGGCCGCTCATATGAGCAGGAGAATGTATCGCAAGCTATAACTGTGGAACGTGCCCTGCGTTCGCCACCCACGCAATGTATTCCTGATGATAATTCTCGAAGAGAACGTGAATCATCAGTTGACTCTTTGTTTGACGATGTTGAAGTTCCCGGTGAACCCGTTCCGCCGCCAGTTCCAATCCATCAACCGTTGTCTCTTCCTGGAAGGCCCTGTCATACTGTCTTCTCCTCGATCCTATCGCCCCCAGAATCCCCTCCGGGTGCCGAGCCAGTCTTTCTCAAGCCGTGGGTACGAAAACCAGTATCAGAAATTATAAAAAAATACAACAATATCGGAAGCCAAGATCTACTCAATTCCATGTACAGACAGGTTTTCACTACGCACCGCAATGCAGAGAAATATATTTCACCCTATCCTCGCATGGGTGGACCACTAGGCTATCTACCGTCGACTCCAGTCGCTCACGTCAAGTGTGTTGAAGTAGCAGACAGCACAGTTAACCACAGAATCAACCAATACCGCAGGATAGCGCATAGGATGAGATATGAGCGGGATAAAATTGCATGGTTTTCTGCGCAGTGGGGGGACATTGACCCTGTTACTGGAAAGTCAAAGGCACAACAGATGAGGGAAGAATGTACCCTCCTGAAACGGTCGATAACTTTCAAAAACAAGGCAATTGAAGAAGCCACAGCTGATGCGGAACTCTGGCGCAACAAGTTTCGGAACCTTGAAGCTGCCCACCTCAACCTCCTCACGCAGTATCATGCCGCAATCGCTGTAGCCTCCAAGGCTACGGCAGCAAACCTTGCTTCTCATCAAGGAACATCCAAGCCTACAACAGTGGCCTCAGAGCCTGCAAGGATCGATCTTACTGCCGAAAAACCAGTAACCGCAAAGCCTGCTGTTTCTGCCTTGAACCGTATGCGTATGAAGAAGTATAATTGGCTGGATAACAGTCGGCGTTGCCCGGCGCCCCAACCTGCAACCCCGGCTGCTGAGAATGAGTCTGAACCTGGTCAAGATGACAATGACGAGCGTAGCCAGATGCTTGTGCAGGAACTTGGAGATTTAAATTAGGATGATTGCAATGTGCTTCTTGTTAATTGTATTATTACCGTGGAACTGCCTAATTGCTGAAATGCCACCCTTTGAGGGATCTACCTACCTATATGCCCGTGTTCACTCGCCTAACTAGGTACACAGAGTAATGTATTCATAGGGTAAAATTCTCTATTCTATCTGGGTACTCCTAGGCCACACCTCACCTTATTCTATTTCTTACCTCTTACACCTATCTCCTTTTTACCTTCTTACTCTTTATATAGAATTCTTATACCTTCAACCTTGCCTGCTGAGGCCTGCCCAGGTGCGGTCAACGTCAGGTGACTGTATCACGTGGTCCACACTTCGGCTAACTAATCGCACCTTTGCAAGGATCAGCGATAAACTATAACCTAACTAGTTATTTATATCTTGACTACAACATGCCCGTAACCGCGCTCTGGCCCTACAAGTTACTACTTGTCCTCGTACAAACTCTTGTGTCTGTTGACCCCTTCTCCCGAGATCAGGTCCCTCTCTTTAACCCTCTTGTCACTTCTATCCCGTAATTGTTCGTTGAATTAATACTATTATTGAACGTGGCCATGGCGACCCAAGGCGGCTTGAATGCCGAGTTTAGATCAGAGCGAAGGCTGCAACTGTTAACTACCTTACAAAGTTTACTTGATGAGAGACAGCCAAATGGGCTTCCCTCCTCGTCCTGGGCCGGTTTATGGTTGGCAGACCTTGAACGGCTTGAAGAAATCATCGCGTCAGCTGGACGAGCAGAATTTATACCCGCCATCACTGCCGACTTTGGAGTCATTGTTCGTGAAAAAGCGCAGCGAGAGCGGTTTGAGTCACGCTCGCCATCATCTTCACCACCACAGTCTCCATCAGGCCTCCTGCGCGCGAGTCCGAGCCAGTCAAGCTCTCTCCATCGCTCGGCCGTGGAGAAACGGTCAGGACTAACCCGCGAACCCCCCGGAGACGAAGCCGAGCAGCCGACGTCGCAGCCGGCCATACCTCCAGCAAAACGCCAGTGCACAGGATCTGAACTGTCAAATTCTACTGGCTGCCATTGCAGAAGCCTTCCCGAAATATTAGCGTGTTAACCGATCCTACGATACCAGAGAATCTTATTAGTATCAACAAGGATTATAGGGCCTGGAATGTTCGTACCGGCGAGGAGATTGTATCTAGACGAGAGATCGTCCTAACGACCAGTGACCCCGAAAGCCACCCCCTGCCAAGCTGGGATCTCCTCGAACTCCAGTAGACCCTCCAGCGGTTGACAGCATTGAGTGGAGCAGCGGACGTCTTTCCCGATACTATTGATGACGACGACAGCAGTGGGATCTTATGGGAGGATGGAGACAGTATCCGATGCCATGATAGCGTTGCATCATTATCTGACCCAGGGATCGAGCCGTCGTCGCTCTCCCCACAAACCACTAAGGTTGCCAGCACGATGAGCAGCGCCATCCATTCCCAGGTACACAAGCAATCTCTCGCATAAAGCAGGTTGGACCAGCAAACTGCTTTTAGTACTGTAGAATACGTTAATTCATCTGGCCGTCTACCTTTACGTCAGCTTGCATGATATTCCCAATTCCGGCAATCTAGAGAACTATCTAAAAGTAACAGATTTCGTTTTTGTTACTTTTCCTGGGTAGACCATGCCTAGGCTGATTACATGAGGTCGCCCGGCATACTTGACACAAGATGGCTGTTCATTATATGAAAGCGCTAGCCATTTGCTTACGGCACAGAGCTGGATAAAAATGAAAGAGATTATATGCGATTGTCATATCTACAAATGACAATTTCAAAGCCCCCAGTCATGGGTCATCTATCCTTCGTCTTAGTTGCAACTATTTCGTCGGACTCGCTTATGCCAGTGCAGCTTTGATGATGCCAGCTAGCTTGCCTGCATGTTCTCCCTTCTGTTATGGTTATGCAGTTAGTTACTGGTCTGGATGATGTCCAATATGCTCAGATTGCTGCACTTACCATCATGGAGAAGTGGTTAGCGTGCTCTATACGCTCTAAGATAATCTCACCCCCTGGAAAGACAGCCTCCCACCCAGCTGCTGAAAAGTCAGTACGTTTTTCTGACAAGAACTTCATTCCTGGTGTATCGTCGGGATGGGACTGAAGTTTGGGCACGTTAACACCATCAATTACACTCTCACACGCCCATATGATAGTCGTCCGTGGCATTTTACCAGCTGGAAGGGGGGAGGCATGGTAATCATGTAGGGTGTCAATTGTGGCATTGAAGTGTGGAATGAGCCATGCTGGCGCCTTCGCATGGCCCTTGGTCGGCCCAGCACGGTGTCCGAATACCTGGTACTTGCTGCAGTGATCATAGAAGTGCTGAGGTAGCTTGTCTAGCCCCCTTGGGACAGGAGAGTCGATCAGAATAAGATCGAGAACTTTTTCACCAGTTTCAATCAGCTTTTGAGCGGCGCGGTAGGCCAAAATACCTCCAGCGGACCAGCCTCCGAAGTAATACGGCCCTGTCGGTTGGCGACGGCGGACTTCATTTAGGTAACTATCGATCAGGTCGTCGAGGGTGCATCTGAAAAGCTCTGGGATCTTGTTATAGGGAGAGTTAAGCCCGATGACAGCTACGCGGGGACTCAGCCGCGGGATTGCTGAATATGAAGTTGCTGATCCTGAACCGTCAGGGAAGAGGAAGAGGATCTTCTCCGCGTGTCTTGCTATACCCTGCAATAGAACAGATGTCGCAGGCGGTACGGCAATGTGTTCTGGCTTCTCGGACGTGTCGTAGTCGGAACTTGAGTCTGGTGGTGTCATGGATGACATTGTGTTTTCATCAGAGCTTTCCATCAGAATGGACGGTGCGCGGGTAGTGATTGTTGATTCCCCTTTTCCAAAGAATGCCTTCAAGTCTCGGATCGTGAAGGAATCTGTGAACACAGATTGACTATCAATGTCGACGTCCAATTCCTCCTTGAAACGGCTGACGATAACAAGCGCCAGAAGTGAGTCGATACCAATCTCTGCAAGGATACACTCATCAGCGAGTTCAGCGATCGCGATTCCACTCTCTTCAGACACTATGGCAAGGGCAGCAGCACAGTCGGCACCCATGGAGATTCGAGAAGTGACGGCGGGCTCAACCTTTAGCGCAATGACGGGTAATGGTGTGGGTTCCACCACTACTGGGATATCTGAACCTGACTGTTTTGCAAGGTAGCTTCTAAGCGCTTTTCCAGAGGTGTACGTGAGGAATATATCATCCAGTTCCGCGTCCAAGTCGAGCTCCTCCCGGAATCGACTTGTGATCACTAGAGCCAACAGCGAATCAATTCCCATGTCTGTGAAGACACAATCGTCCGTGAGGTCTTCAACAGGCACGCCGGCTTCCTCGGAGATGATTTGGAATGCCTGCTTGACCTTTGGTGTCTTGGGGCTGGCTGTTGCTGGAGCCATGGCGGGCTTAGCGATCGGCTTGGAAGTAGAAGTTGGCATGGCCGCTGCAGCTGGTGCAACAGGAGCTGGTCGTGCTGTGGTCTTTTTTTGGTTTGCTTGTCCACGGGGAGCGGCTGGCGCTTCAGGCTTCAAGAAGAAACGCAACACTCTACGAGGAACACCTTGGAACTGTTTGCAAGCTGTCAGTTAATTGGCCTCACAAGTTTCGGTTTGATGGGAGCAACTTACAACAATGCCCTTGTAGCTGGCTACGATTTTCTCGCTCTCATCAAAGACCACCACATCACCATGGAACTTTCTGTTGTCTCCTGGAGACATATGACAGAAAGTTTTATACTTCTTCTCCTTCTGAAGAGGCTCATACAGCTGGAGAGACTCCCAGCCATGGTTAACGAACACCTCCACTGCCAAATCATTACTGTCATTGCAGTTCATGACAAACCCTCCTGCCTGTGTGAGGCCGTCAATATAAGCTGGATGGGCGAAGAAGTTACCAGCAGCCTGGACACCTTTGAAGTTGACCTGACTGAAGACTTCAAGACTATTGCTATCGATGATAACTTCATCGAGTGGTTGATAGTCTCGGTGGAACTGTGCCAAAGGACTGATCATCTTATACACCATTGCACGATTGAACCTTTGGGTTTCGCCGCTTCCAAGGGTCTCGCGCATAGCGCCCATTCGAGCCTTGACAGTTGCAGTAGAGCTCTCTAGCAGCTTGAGCCGAGACCGATCAGTGAAGTGTATCTCGCAGGTGGCATGTTCCACGGTTGGCTCTCCAGATTTCTAGTGGTTTAAGGTCAGCACGGGACCCTGGCATTCCAGAACCCATGGTAGGGATGACTTACGTCGTAAGAGCGGAAGGAAACACTAGCTTTCTTAGCAGACCAATCGACAGTTGCTATGGTACGAAGAGGCTGGGGCCCCTGAGCCCGAGCAATCAATGCCTTCAAGACAGTCATGTTGGCCACGTCGACCAGGTTCGTTTCGATTTCTGGATGGTATCTCTCCAGAAGATACTTGCCAATGGAAAGGGCTATATCCGCATAGACGGACTAGAAGTACGGTCAGCATCAAAATTATCGCTAGGAAACTATCAATTCATGTCGGCACTTACTGGTGTGCATAGAGGCACGCCATCGACCTCGTGGCCTTGTACCAAGGGATTGAAATCTTCGCGTGCCATATCCGACTCGACAACAATTTTGTCAATACTGTCGTCCACTACTTTGTGAATGGTAGTTGATGTCAAGGACGAAGGACCCACGATCAATGGCGGGTCACCCTTTCGCAAAGACCAGTCATTCACGTACTGCATCCAGTAGTTCTTCAAGTCCCAGTTATATGCAGGGAGTTCCAGGACTTTGTGAGAGGCCTCAAAGTCGCGGTGGTACTCGTTCCAGCGAAGGTCGGCGCCGGCCGAATAAAGGGAAACAAGCAATTCGGTCACAACCTTCAGGTCATCACGGCTACGCTGAAGCGTAGGCATAGAAGTGACAGAGGTTCCAAAGAGTGCTTTAACCATACCAGTCACGATAGGGTGAGGGCCTACCTCAACGAAAAAGGACTTGTCTTTCACGACTCCAGTCTCTTTGAAATGCTGAAGGGCTCCGAGGAAATTGACGGTTTCACGGCAATGTCTCCTTAGATAGCTAGGGCAAATGATACCCTCGTCCACAATGACCTCGGCGAGCAATGGAGATATAACCGAAATCATTGGCTTGCGGAACTTGACACCTGTAGCGAGTGTCTCGAAATGGCTCAATATGGAATCTACTTGGGAAGAATGGTATGCAAAAGGCACCGAAATGATCTTTGTCTTGAGGCCATTGTTGTTCAAGGACTCCTTGAGGGCTTCAATTTGTGTGTTGGGGCCGGCAAGGACAGTCTCCTCTGGTGCATTGATACATGCAACCTCAAATTCCGTGCCATCGAGTGCTCTCTGGACGGCAGATAAGGAAGCCTTAACCACAAGCATGCTGTGTGTTCCAAGTGTACAATGCTGCTCCAACAACTGGGCACGCCTTCCAACGAGGAAAATGGTGTCTGTGTCAGACAGAACGCCGGCGGTATTGAGAGCAGCATATTCACCGAGGCTGTGGCCGATGACATTATCCGGAGTGATATTCCAGGAAATAAGCAGCCGAGACAAAGCCATTTGCATACAGACACTAGAGAGCTGTAAAGTGACTGGAGAGATATTCTGTTGTTGCTGGCATGACTCGTCCTCAATCACAGAAATAAAGCTGGGGAAGCCTAGCTTCTGGGCAAGGCTGTCGAACCGGTTGATTTCTTTCTTAAATTGATCAAATAGCGTGTACAGCTGCTTTGCCATACCAACATACTGAGCACCCTGTCCAGTATATGTGAATGTGACTTTGGGTGCGACTCTTGCTCTGAGCTTGCCATCACCATTCGCAGCAGCTGCTTCCAGAGCTGCCTTGATATCGGCAGCAGATGTACCGGTAACAGCAATTCGGTGTTGATGGTGAATTCGACGTGCGGTCGTAGTATAGGAAAGCTGGGGAAGGAAAAGAGCCTCGTCTTGATGCTTCTCAATATAATTTGCGAGTGACTGGATATTTCGACTCAAAGAAATTGCTGATTTGGCTGACACCGTTACCACATGGGCAGCTCGAGGGTCGGTCCCCAGAATCTCAGCCTCCACGGGTTTTTCTTCAAGGACCAGGGCGGAGTTTCCTCCTGCAGCGCTGAAGTTGTTTATAAATACCCTGCGTGGCTGTCCCTCCTTTGAAGGCCAGGGGACGGCCTTCTTTGCAATGTACACGTTCCTGGCATCAAGGTCTGTTGGGAAGCTGGAGTTGATTTTGTTTTTGATACCACAGTGCGGAGGAATGGTATTGTTTCTCAACATTAAGAGAACTTTGATCAGAGCACTGACTCCAGCAGCAGCCTCTCCGTGACCAATGTTAGATTTGACTGAGCCTAGATGTAAGGACTCTTCGGGCTGACGATATCGACGGGCGCCTGCAGGCGCGAAAGTGTCCAGGACAGAGGTCATTTCTCTAGCATCTCCTGCCTGAGTACCTGTTCCATGCAGTTCAACGTAACTCACACTGTATGGATCAACTCCACTGTTGCTAAGAATATTTCTCATGATATCTCTCTGCGCTCCGACATGCGGACGGGTGATTGACTCTGCCTCTGCAGAATGGTTTGTGTAAGTTCCCAAGATGAGACCATGGATAGGGTCCTTGTCGGCAATAGCATCTTCCAAACGCTTCAGGATAACGGTGCCAACACCTTCTCCACGGCAATACCCATCGGCATCGTCATCAAACGTCTTACAGTTACCAGTGCGTGAGAGGAAGTGGCCACGATCCAGACCAGCAGTAAAGTCAGGGTTGGTCAAGATATTTGTTCCACCCGCGATGGCAGTATCAATATCACGCTGCCACAAAGAATTGCACGCGATATGAAGAGATGCCAAACTAGAAGAGCACGCAGTGTCAACACTGTAGCTGGGACCGCTGAATTTGAAGAAATAATTGATCCTGCCTGGGATGAACGCTCTGTTACCACCAGGAATGAAGTAGGTGTCGATGTTTTGGGCACTGTTAGTTTCCATCCAGTCGTTGCTTGTGACTCCATAGAAGACGCCCACCCGGTCGTGGCGGGTGGATGGAGTAGCGCCAGGGACAATTCCGGCTTGTTCCATTGCTTCATAGGCGGTCATCAAGGCGATACGCTGAGCAGGGTCGACTTGGGGCGCCTCGCGGGGCGACATATTGAAAAAGAGTCCGTCAAATGCCTCGGGGTGTTCCAACCAGCAGCCGTAAGGGGTAGCACTGGTATTCTTTTTCTTGCCGGTAGGGTCAACATGTGTCTTAGCACTCCAGTGGAGATCTGGCACAGTTTTATGCACGTCTAGTCCGCGGAAGATGAGATCCCAGAATTCCTCGTTATTCTCTGCGCTTGGATATCTTCCAGAGAGGCCAACGATGGCGATCTTGGATCGACCCCGAACCATATTTCCACGGGCCTCGCGACCGTTTTGGTCCGGCTTCACACTCTCACCATTACCGATTTGAAACTCATCAATTTGCATCTTGGAGCTCAGTGATGCCGTTAATGTGGCCTCTGCATTGGTACCGATAGAAATAACGTGGAACCTCATTGCGTTGATTGAGGACATGAATGCAGCCAGCCCGTGAGTGAGCTCTGTCCATCTGATCGGCTCAATCAAAATTTGAGTGACTGCTGCCTCCAAGCGGGATCGGAGTCCCTCCAGCTCAATTAATTCTCCAGTGGTGCTCGAAACCATAGGCCGAACGGCTCTATATCGCTCCCACTCCTGAGAATCGGTTGTCTCAAGGATTGCATCGATGTCGATTTTTGAGAATATATGCTTTGCATGATAAGGGGAGTGGATGTCAAGCACACGCGAGCGCATTCCTGACAGTATCTCAGAGGAGCGAAGTGCTAGCAAAATGGATGCAGGTGCACTGATCGACACCCAGTTATCTTCCCCGTATGCACTAATCCATGGCATTGATGTGATGGGAAGATTCTGCGGAATGTGTTAGCCATTGTTTCCCCAATAGTAGTGCACACGTTATTCTTACATTATCCTCTGAGAATTTGCAAAGAAGCTCTTCAACTTTGTCAGTTGAATCGCAAGATACAACCATCGACCAGTTTCCCTCCGACGGGTCAATTGCCTTGGAAGCACGTAACGTGCACATCCCCAGTCGAAAAGCAACCAGTGCCGTTTGTACAGCAATAGGGACCAGTTCAGATGCAGTCCTACAACAGCTAACAGCTGCAGCAGAAAGGGCACCAGTACAGATACCGGTTACGCATGTTTCTTGGGGTGAGAAGTACTCCTGTCCGAGACCCTCATGTTGGCTGCATTAGAAAAGAGGCATATTCATTAGCATGGATTCATCCTTAAGGTTATTCATTGCTTGATTATGCAGATGCTCCCAGCTCAAGGGACTTACTGAATAAATTCACCCAACTGATAGATGCACGTTAATGCATTCTCAACTGCAGGATTTGACCTGCTGTGGCTGCTACGCCATGTCAATAGCTCAGCAATGCTAGAAAAACGAGGGAAAACTTCTTTATCCTGGGCCGGCAATCGGCCAATCTCAGCCCTGAGTTTATCGCAAACGCAATCGAAAAACGAACGAAGAAGGGGATATGACTCGGAATGAAGGAGTGGTTGCAGCTTTGTGGAAATGTCATATGTCAAATCTCCGAAGAGATAGAGGTGCAGTTGATTCACCATGGTCAACAAAGACACTCGAGTTATATGTTGAAGCAATTACTAATGCCTAAGCGCTGAACTGCATGGGAAGTTGAAAATGGAAAGGGAGAACTGGAGCTCCAGTGGAAGTGTATGGAACTGCGCAGTTGGAATCTGCTCTGATATGTCCTAGGGGGGCTTGTAGGAGTTTATAAAGCCTCAAGCAAGACCCTTGTGAGATGACTAAATTGGCTATATTTACACACCACGTTCCCACGCGCCCTTCTTTGGAGACGCCATGCCCATGTGGGTGGTGGCAGCCGCTTGTTCCTGGACTCGTCCGCCCGTGTCCAGCTCGAGCCGACCAATCCCCTTCAGCTCTGCATATCAAAGAGATCTCCATACATTCCCCGAACCAATAACAAGACCCGAAAGAGATCTTGCAGGACTCCCGCGCGACCCCCGATCATTCCCGGGACCATGTTTCGGAATTCGGATCTAAACCAGGGCCCAATATCTGTACTGAAGCAAGGGGAGAATAGTGGTACTACTATGCATGGTGGGTAGCCATGAGGTACAAGGTTCTCTAAACATGGGCTCCCATATCCGAGGAAGAGTCCACTGAACCGGGCCTGGATCCTCTTCCATATCAGCTCAACTTAACCCGGTTGAGTCCCGACTGTACCCCGAATCCTACGACACCTCAGCCCCCTTTCGGAGGACCCGGGTAATTTGGAATCTATAATGTTAATGAAGCGGGCTTTCTACTACGGAGATTTACTTTGTTTTAATGTTTCTTTTGCTATGTGCCTTTCCATCCTTTATACGATAGGGCTGCCCAGACATATCCAAGAATAACGGTCAACATTTGATGACACCAATTTAAATACTATTGGCAAAACTGTTTCTCCTACTTTGATCATTTGGGCTTCCAAAATGTCTGAAAAAGCGCCAACAGTTGCGGTCCTTGGTCTCGGTATGTAAAGGTTCTATACTGGTAGCTTGCTGCTTCTCCACTGAATTGGTTATGGATAATGAACGATATGCAGGTAGCTGACTTGGCACCAATCTAGGGGCTCTCGGCCTTGTGTCGATGAAGAACTTGCTTGAGGAAGGGTTCAATGTGACCGGATTCGATCGAAATTCATACGTTGGTGGTCTGTGGCATTACAATGAGGAGAATAAGAACATCTCTGTGTTACCAAGTCAGCCTCTGCTCTCTATATATGTGCTATGTGGACTTATTCAACTGACCAAAGCTCGATTCGTTTTCTAGCCACGGTAACAAACGGATCCAAACATCGTGTAAGATAGCTTTATACAACCAGTTGCCTGTATAGAAGGGCTGGGCTAAGCAGACGTTTCATACTAGGGATCATTCACCGATTTCCCCTTTCCTGATGGTGAGTTTGCGCAGGGACTTATGCATTGCGGACTTTTATGATATTAACTGTGTGTAGATACGCCCGATTTCCCGACAGCAAGCCATATGGCGAAATACCTTGCCTCGTACGCTGAGCATTTCCAGGTCATGCCACATGTGCGCCTTAGCACAAACATCCACCGTGCAAGCTGGAATGAGATGAAGCACAAGTGGGAAATTGAAATATCTCCAGTTGGAAACGAAGACCAGAAGTCTGTTCAGGAATTTGACAAAGTAATCCATGCGTTGGGCCCGGATCAAGTACCCAATATCCCGAAGGTAGCGGGAATCGAGAAATTCAAAGGAGACGTGCAACATTCCGTCACTTTCAAGAGGTAAGTTGGGCTCTTGTTTTTCTCATTTCGTAATTTATGGATGGCTTAGTGCCTGCAATAAGTATTCCAAGCTAACTGTGTGACCGCATAAAAGTGCAGATGAATATTCAGGCAAACGAGTGTTGGTTGTTGGCTTTGGAAACACTGCAGCTGATGTTACGGGCCTTCTGGCGGATGTAGCGGAAAAAGTGTATGTATCGCACCGTCACGGTGCGATAGTGGTAAGTCTTGAGCCGGCATCATATCCCACTGCTTTCCGTTACTACAACTAACCATGTTCCAGCTGCCACGATGGGTTGATGGTAAGCCGGTCGACCACGTTCGCACCTATCGCAAAGGATGGATTTTGGGTATGATGTCCCGCTACACCCCAGGCCTGTGGAAAAAGGTGATGGACAGCGTTATTGTCGGACTTCGCAATCGACTATACGACCTGAAGCCGGAATGGCAGCTGGATCCTGCCCCATCGTTCAGCCAGCAAAGACCGATTATCAGTGATAATCTGATTGAAAACCTATCCAGTGGCCGGGTTATTTCTCTTCCACCTATCCGTCAGGTCTGCGACGACACAACTATTGAGATGACCGACGGCACTGTAATTGAGGTGGACTCCATCGTCTGGTGTACTGGATACACCGTTGACTATTCAATGCTTGGGAAGAGTGATCCAACCATCTACGACCAGAAGGACGCCTGTGAGATGTCGAATGGCCGGAAGATGCCTCGTCTTTACCAGAATGTCATCTCGCTCCAGCATCCCGAATCACTCGCTTTCATGGGCAACTTGTCATTCATGAACCCGGCATTCTTGATGTTCGACCTTGCGAGCATGGCTGTTGCACAACTCTGGAAGGGAACTTCTCGGCTCCCATCCAAGGCAGACATGAACCGCCAGGTGGACGAGCAGTTCAAGTGGATTGCCAGTCTCTCCAATAATTCGCGAGTGACCCCGGGCCTGACTAAAGGAGTTGACTGGCTGGAATGGGTGGACGAAGCGGCCGGTCTCGGTATGGGAGCGAATCTGGGATATGGCTGGCAGGGCTGGACTTTCTGGCTCATGGATCGGGAACTGTGCAATATGGTCATGGACGGGCTTTTGCTGCCTTTCCACTACCGACTGTTCAACGCGGGCAAGCGGAAACCATGGGCCGGTGCTCGGGAGAACATAACCAAGATGAACAAGGAGCTTCGGGCTAAGAATTGGTACCCATAGCGTGAGGCTGAAGCTAACTCTCCATGGCTAAGTTTATTTGATGCGAGGGTGAGCTAGATAGTTATGGTCTAGATTTCTTTTCACTTCTGCCCTATATTTTGTGTATATATTAGTTGCCATCATCTCTGCCAATGACATCTCGATCCAGTTACCAATTTTAACTCTCTGCTCTAGAATTATATACGTCAATAGAGTAATTCTGCCGTCAATTGGTAGCTCGCCTCTTATTGTCCAGGGCTTAAGCCGAGTATGATCCTTTGCCATAGCCTTATACATATTTTATAAACATGAATAACTAATATTTCTGTTAAATAAAAACGAAAATACTTTCACAATAAGATCTAAATATCACATCCATCAATAAGCGCTGGGATGAATAGCGAGGTAGCCTCCATCGGACAGCATCACTGAGCCGTTACAGTAAGCGCCAGCCTTAGAGGCCATGTACAAGAGGGTCCCACTGATCTCCTGCATGTCTCCAAAGCGCTCTTCAGGGGTCATGGTAGCCGGCAATCGACCTCCCGTACTCTTGTAGAAATCTTGGGTCATCTCCGTGTGGAAATCTATGGCAGCATCGTTAGCCACCTATCTTCCTAGTATAGTTATATCTTGCAGTAAAGGGGCCTTACATCCTGGTGCCAGTACATTCGCTCGGATCTTCCATGGCGTGAGATATGTCGACAGATTCTTGGTCATTTGCGTTGTCCCGGCCTTGCTGGCGCCGTAGATGAAGGCCGAGTTATCGCGACCAAAGCCGCCAACGCTGCTGACCATGATGACCTGGCTGCGCACGTAGTCTGATCGGCCGCCGTTTGCCTTTGCCTGCTCTGCGCGCACACGGTTGCCCCGGTCCAGCAGCTCGAGGAATGCAAAGGTCACCATCAGGGGCGCGGTGGTGTTGGCTTCAAGGACTCTGGCGTAGTCCTCGAACGACGGCTTGCTGAACCAGTAGTTCCGCAAGTCTGTGATGCTCCATTTGGCATTTGGTCGCGTCCGCTGGGGGCCTAGGTTTGGTGAGATCCGCGTGTTATCACCAGGTTGACGAAGCCGTCCTCGCTGGCAATGCGTTCAACTACTATCTCGAGGTCATCCTTGGAGGTGATATCACATTGTAGGGGGTAAATGTTTCCGTATGTCTGCGTTCCCTTGTTAGTACTTTGATTCCAAACTCCTCCTAGGGGGTACATATATATATATATGGCTTACCGCTTGCTTCGCGGCAGCCTCGAGGACTGCCAGCCGTCGACCCAGGATGTAGACCTTTGCTCCGTTGGCCTCGAGTGCCTTTGCCATCATCAGGCCCATCCCGGTTCCACCGCCGGTAACAACTGCAACGCAGTCACTGACATCGAATAGCTCGCTGTTCTGCAATGGGACTTCCTCGGCAGCCATGGTGACGTTCTGGTGGATTGCTAGCCAACACTTGGTAGAGATCGAAAATGTAGTGATAGAAAGGATGTCGTCTTCATCCTGACCCTCTCCAATCTTGCCGCCGTCATGATATAGCTTGTTGCTGAGTCTGTTCCGCCGCTGTCGTTCATCGCGAGTGACACCAGGAGTTCGATACTTCAGCCATCAGCCGCTATACCAAGCCCGAAGTTGTTCGGGTTAGTTACATATAGAACATGCTCACTCAAATTATTAGCCAGTTAGTTACTGTATGTTAAACATCGGGGAAGGATCACAGGCAGATTCAAGCCCGAGACCCGAAGGCTGGCCCTGAAAATGGGTCTCAAATGGGGGCTCAGTGGATGAATCTTCGGGCTGGGGGAGCAGCTTCTGGACTCCCTCATGGTCGAGCAAACACGAGGCCTGGCACTGAGGGTAGAATATTTATGGATGAGTCTGATGTTTTCTGGAATGAATCCCCCGATTGAACATGTTGGTATGAAATTCAGGGGCTAACTGGTTACCTGGGTAGAATTACTCTAAAAGGGGTAAAATCAAATTATAACATCCATGACTGAAGTCATCAATTTGCTCACCCGTTGACTAGTTAGCTTGTTAGTTAACTAAATGTATTATAGAGTGAAGATGAAATGGTTTATTCTTAATATGTATCGTTCTACATGTTCATGTGGTACGCCAGCCTATTATCGTTGCGCAGACAACCGGCATTGCGCAAATGGAGAGATTGGTCACGGCTCTACAACAAGTCTCTCTAGTCTTTTCTTTAGCTCTCCCACGGGTACTCCAGACGGGCCTAGAAGCCATTGTGCCATAGTGCTCATCCATGATTGTTCGGAGGTAGACTCTTCTCCATTAGATAAGAGTGGCGGTAGCAATACGGTGTCAATCTTATGCACCACACCGTCCATCACCACGATATCATGACTCTCGATGCTAACAGCATTGTTGATCTTGGGAGAAACTCGAGGTCCGTTCATCTCTACCGTCACACTCAGATTATGGGAGGGAAGCAGAGTTGGAAGATGTATCTACATATCATTTAGCTCAACGATCGAATGATGGATGGTTAGGGAAGAGCTGGAGAAGGTACCTACTTTTGACCCATTTTCCAGGGGAATTTGTGCCGCCCCGTTATGAGGGAGGAGTAAATTGCTAAACATGGTCTGGTTGGCAACAATGTGGTATTGAAGCAGAGCTCTTAGGTACTCTTTGCCATAAGGGCTAAAAAGGAACTGGTTGGCTTTTGATCCCAACTTATCGAAGGCTTTATTGGTAGGAGCAAATATAGTCTGGCCGACATGGGTGGATGTATCGTTGACTGTCACGGCAACGTCTGTATCGATGAGAGCTTTGCGTAGTTTGCTCAGTTTAGGATCATCACGTAAGAGGTCGGACGTCGATTCTGGCATCATAAGGACACGATCAATCAGATGGACGTAACCATTCACTGCAGGCTACACATAATTAGCAAGGAGCTAGGTACCTACTTATATAGATGTACACCTGTTAAACAAAAAGCGCCAGTCACTCACCATCTCAGGAGCAGCCGGCCGGGCTACATGGTTCAACATGAAGCTGTCACCTTCATCTATCCTCTGTATGCTAATGCGTTGGCGATATGTCTCGAAGACGTCTGCAAAGACAAACGACGGCGCTGTAGTCATGTGCGAGAAATCCTTCTGCGAAAGTGCCCCTGCACCCATATGATATCCGATCAGGTAGAGCCAGTAGAAGGACGGTAGATCCCAGGCAAAAGTCTCCTTCTCAAACGCTTCGTCGGTTGGGACGTAGACGGTGAACTTGGCCTTTGGCGCATCAAGACCAGCTACGATGCTCTTGAATTCTCCCAATACTTTGACAAATTTGGAGACACGGGTATCGTTCCTGATGGTCTCCCACACAGTACCATGGGGTTCAGGGGTCGAAGAGGCGCCGTTCGCACCCAGCCGGCTGTTGATATAGTTGCTGGCCTTGCTGTTGCTCGAGCTCTTGAAGGTCCATTGTATTGCCAGCAAGATAGTCACTACCACGGCGGTTCCGCGCAGCGTCTGGCGTACTATACGTCGAAGCCGGTGGTTCTCCATGCTGCCAGCTTGGCGTATATGTGTATCAAATCAAGATCAGGAGAATAGAAACAGTCACTGGTGGGCAGCAGAGTCCCAGGAGCAGTTTTATTCATTGCTGAGCATCAACTCTGTCGTCTCCGGGCTCATGTTGACTGGGTTCTGCTGCTCCAGCCTGCTCGGTCGGGGCTCGGGTTCTGAAAGCCAATCTGATAGCTTTCTGCTAGGCTATCCCGGGCTGTTCTCGTGTTCGGATATATATATATATTTAGTTTTATCTATGTCATTATTAGCCAGTTACGGTGTTGTTCTCTAGTCTTTGGGTGATGGAATGTAGCCAGCCCCGAGGCGAGCTCGCCAGCCTGGCCCTTTTAATGAAATTCTTTGCCTGTCTGCATTCCTCTTCCTGTGTTAATCGGCTTGAGATCTAAGCTGATATTTGTTGGAACGATGCGAGGGTGGATAATTGCCCTCTGCGCTCTCGCTGCAGGAGAGGTCGCTGCAAAGGTCGTACGCGAGGAACTGACATTGACATGGGGCTTGGGAGCGCCAAATGGACAGCCCCGGGAGATGATCTTTATGAATGGCCAATTCCCAGGGCCTACATTTGTCTGGGACGAAGACGACGATGTGGAGGTAAGAAACTGGCTGAGACATGAGTGAGAATCCATTTTGCGCGCTTTGCTGAAATTAGTTATTGATATATAGGTTCTTGTCCATAATAAAATGCCCTTTAACACAACTATACATTGGCATGGACTCTTGTAGGTCGCATCTGGTTGCTGGACTACGAAAAAAGGATGTGAACGGCTTACAACTCCAGGATGCAAGGCACTCCGTGGTCTGATGGTGTGCCCGGCTTAACACAGAAGCCAATCGAGGTGGGAGAGTCTTTTATTTACCGATTTAAGGCATATCCTCCTGGAACTCATTGGTAGGAATCTTGTCTAGAGATATACAATACTGGGGATGGTAGCTAACTGAAGATGGAAAGGTGGCATTCACATACAAGGACGACCATGTTTGATGGCTTATTCGGCGCCATGTACATCAGGTAGTTATTTGCCATTCTTTCGCAATTTACGGAGACATTCTCTAACGTTAATCAGGCCGAAGCCCACAGCTCCAGCTCCATGGTCTCTTATCAGCAGCAATCTAAAGGACATTGACGGCATGAAAAAAGCCGTTGCGAACCCTCATGTTGTGGTTGTCTCAGACTGGACCCGGTTCAAGTCGTGGGAATATATGAAGGCACAAGAGGACTCAGGTTATACTATATTGTATGACTCCTAGTTCCTTACAGTGCTCCGCAAAAGCTGATACATTCCATTATAGTTGCGTGGACAGCATTCTTATCAACGGAAAAGGCAGCGTATACTGTCCAGGAGAGGACTTTCTTGTCAACAACACAATGGATTATATGAAATGGGCCATATACCCACGCCATGTCAATGACAAAGGGTACGGCTCCTGTTAGTTGGGACTATAGCGAGAATATCACTGATTCGTAATATAGGTGCCTCCCTTTTGTCAGGTCGACGGAAAACAAATATCTACGTGATGGCCGACCAGAGACAATTCCACTCCATCTACAACAAGGATGTGTGCCGTCCGAGGGGGGGCAAGCGGTTTTTGAAGTCGATCCAGCCGATGAATGGGTCAGTTTCAACTTTGTGGATGCTGCAACCTTCAAGACACCCGTTTTTGCTATTGATGAGCATGAAATGTGGGTTTATGAGGCAGATGGCCAATTTATTGAGCCACAGAAAGTTGATACTGTCAAGTTTTACGCTGGTGAACGATACTCGGTCATGGTAAGGTTACACAAGAACGATGCTCGAGACTATACAATTCGAGTGATGGATACAGGTCTAACTCAGATCATTGGATCATATGCCACACTACGGTATAAACGGAACCCGAATGACAAGAATGTTCCCGAAGCGAAGGAGTCTAGAGGGATTCTCAACTACGGCGGTCTAAACACGACGCACGTTGTCACCTTAGACCGCGATAATCTACCGCCTTATCCGCCCAATGCACCCGCCGCGCATGCAGATGCTCTTTACCTTCTTGATACTCACCGCGTGAAAACCGCGTGGACATACACTATGAAAGGCGGTGCAATGTATCAGGAAGATCGCAGCGCATACGCCCCATTACTTTACTACCCAGACTCGGCTGACGCAATGGACGAGAGCCTTGTCATCCGTACTAAGAATAATACTTGGATTGATCTTGTTGTTCAAGTAGGCTCTCTTCCGAACCAGCCTCAGGAGTTTCCGCATATCATGCACAAGCATTCTGGAAAGACCTGGCAGATTGGTGCCGGGGAAGGGCACTGGAATTACTCTTCAGTCGAAGAGGCAATGAAGGCCGAGCCTACCAAATTCAATCTCAAAACGCCGAATTATCGGGACACCTTTATTACGTCTTTTGATGGACCATCTTGGATCGTGCTACGATATAATTCTAACAACCCTGGACCTTGGCTCATGCACTGTCATTTTGAGATCCATCTGGGTGGTGGTATGGCTATTGCTTTCATGGATGGTGTTGATGCGTGGCCCAATGTACCACCAGAATACGCTCCTGGAAAAGGCGGGTTCTTGGACTGATGTGAACTACGCAGGAAATTCACCCAGGATGGATTCCTAATTTTGGTCACTTACATCTTGGTTTGCAATGTTAAAGTAATGTGTCATCATGTATATAAGGATATAGATACGTTTCAATTGTATAGGCGCTAAGAATTGCCTCGAAAGGACCACAAAAGTATCCCTGTAGTTTCGTACTTTGATACGAGAAAGTTACAAATAATAAGCTTTAGCCAAGAAAGAGTTAAGCTTAATTTAGTTAAGGTAGAATCCGCCATGATCGGCCCGCGTCAAAGTGGGTCCCGATTTTTGCATTTAATAATCTGGCGAAGAAGAAAACAAGCCGGCGATCGGGCTAAGAATCGGGTCTCGGGGTTGCGTCGGTTAAAATTGCGGCCAATGCAGAAGATACACTCAAAAACGTTCCCCCGAGTGGCGTGAGCTATGTTCTTTTTTTACTGACGACGTGGCGGAGAAAGTTCTCGCTATCACGAACCAATACCGTAAGCCCTATAGGGACCAGATATGGCGGTTACATCGGGATTATTCAAGGTCTGACGATCTCAGCGGCAAGACTTTGTTGGACGAACCGACCGGCATCTAAAACTCAGCCACCAAGGTAAACATGTGCTGCATGCTTGTCACACTGTGGCAGCCAGGTCCAGGTACACAGTGTACCCCATATACATGTAACAAAATACCCCATCGTTCTATATCTTTGCATCGCGGAAATATCTTTCCACATCGATGGGACAAGGCCCCATCTATCTAAAGTCAGTATTATAGGTCGTAGGAACCGACTCGGGTAAGGATTCTCGGCATTGCCAAAGCTTGGGTTGCGAGACTGTCGAGCTGTGGTGTACGGAGTATCCTTAGAGGTGTTGTCAGTTGGTAGTGATCATACCCGATCCTCAATAATATTCTATATACCTGAGCTTCATCTACCTGTAGTAACTTTGAACTTTGCCCTGCTTATCATTCTCAAGAATCTTCTTTGAATGCACTGCGAGTTTATCCAGTCTTCTCCGTGTATTTCTCCACTAGGTAGCTTAGGGATTGAAAACTGTCTCAGCAATGTCTGTCACCACCATGCAGCAAAACAACAGTGAGATTCCCAAAACTAACGGGACGCACTCACAAGAGCCAATGCTGGAAGTGCTCGCATCTCAGGTGCAAGAAAATGCGAGAATCGTGAGCGAGTTTCTTCGAACTTCTGGCCATACCGCACCATCATTTGCTAGTGATGCTCCTGCTACATCGCTCCCGCCTTCTGCACCTCCAGAGATCGGTGCGGCGCGACAGGCTTTGATGGGAGCTGCCCTTCAAATATTCCACCTGGCTGCCGGCCCCAGCGAGTATCTGCCACATCTAGCTGTTGGAGTAAGTAAATCCATACCCATATTTATCAGTACCGGCAACTAAATGGATGTTTTTTCTGTTTGTAGTATCAGCACATTGCCTGCCTCCGATGGCTCACCCATTTCAGCATTTTCAAGCTGGTCCCACGCGATTCATCCATTTCGTATCCTGCTCTTGCAACCGCGGCTGGAGTTTCGGTCAAACAGCTTAAGACAGTAGCTCGCATGGCCATGACCAACCACTTGTTCTGCGAGCCAGAGCCCAACATGGTCGCTCACACGGCGACTTCGATGCTTATCGCATCCGACTCCAGTTTTTATGACTGGGCGTCTTTCATGTGCGAGGCTTCGGTCCCCATGGCAGCAAAATTGGTAGAAGCCACCGAGAAGTGGACGGACAGTGAAGAGAAAACCCAGACGGCGTACAATGTTGCGTTCGACACCGATCTGCCGTTCTTCGACCATCTCAAGACCCAGCCTGACAAGACACGGCAGTTCGCCAGCTACATGAAGAATGTGCAGAAGAGCGGCGGCACTGGAATGCACTATCTGATTGAAGGGTTTGACTGGGCCAGCCTGGGCAAGGGGACAGTTGTAGATGTAAGTCGTTCGTTTCTCGGCCACTTTTGATATGTCCATCATGCAAAGTATAGCAGCATTAATACGTTTATTTTTTTGAAACAGGTTGGTGGTTCCAGCGGAGCAGCGAGTATTTCACTTGCCTCCGCATTCCCAGACCTCAACTTCATCGTGCAGGATCTGCCTGAAAATGCAGCAGATGGACAAGCATTCCTGGCCTCACCGGAGCAACAGGAGAAGTTGGGCAAGGGGGTTACTTCGCGCATCTTCTTCGAGGGTCATGATTTCTTCCAACCTCAGCCATTCCAGGGCGCAGATGTATATTTGTTGCGTATGATTCTGCACGACTGGCCGAAGAAAGAAGCCGTCAAGATCCTCCAGAACATCCTCCCCGCTCTGAAGGATTCATCTCGCATCATCATAATGGACACTGTTCTGCCGCAGCCAGGATCTATTCCATCTGCCCAGGAGCGTCTTCTGCGAGCCAGGGATATGACTATGTTGGAGGCATTCAACAGCCTGGAAAGAGACTTGGAAGATTGGAAGGAATTGCTACATTCTGTGGACGAGCGGTTGACTTTGAAGAATGTTGTTCAGCCTATTGGAAGCGTCATGTCTGTTCTTGAGATTACCCTTGGTGGACGTACCTAGAAAGAGTGTTGATGTATACATGTTCGGTCTATTTGTATCTATATTTGATAACCAAGAATACAAGTGATAAGCAAGATCTTAACATCCTGCAGTGTGTGCTCACCGTCTCAATGTATACTGGAAGCGCTCAGTACTGTCTACTTTCCTAGGCAGAGTTCCAACTCTAGTTATACTGAATACGAGACTGTTTGCGAGCAACTTTAACTAGAAAACCACAGAGAGGAGATATGTATTAAACATTATGCAGAAAAGAAACTATGTAAATTTTGGCTATGCAATTATGTATGTGTAATCATATAGCTACTCGTCTATACCTCAGTTGCCTCTGGGGCTGGAGCATTTTCCTTTTTCTTGATGACACGATACTCCATTCCAATGGTGGGAAGAATCATGAGACAGGAGACTGCCAGGGAGACGATGAAGGATCTCCTCAAGCTGTCGTTGTAAAGGGGTAGGACCAGCGGCAGCTTGTCAAGGGGGACTACCTTGGAAAGATCTTTTGCACCACTGGCCAGGACTGCTTTCACATCCAGGCCTGGCACCTTCGCCAGATTGGAGGCGAGGGCGTTGGAGAACAGTGACTGACTGATGGCAACGAACAGGGCACCTCCGAGGGACTGGGCAAAAAACATGAGAGAGACTCCGGTCGAGAGGTCTTTCATGTTGAGCACCGTCTGGGCAGCCAGACTAGCTTGCTGCAAACCGGTTCCAATGCCGAAGCCGAACAGTATTTGGTATCCGATCCAGGCAGAGTGGTTGGTATCAGGCTTGAACGTGGTTGTCAGGCCAGCGCCGATGGACATGAGAACGGTCGAGACGTACATCCACGGAACATAGTGTCCGGTAGCGGTGATGATGCTGCCTGAGAGGATGGATCCAACGACAAGAGAGAGGACCATGGGGATAGTATCGATGCCGGACTGGACTGCGGTGGTGCCCTTGACGGCCTGGAACCAGATGGGGAGGGCGTAGAGCATGGAGATGAGGCCTCCACCGACAAAGGCAGAGAAGGCGGTTCCGCTGGCGATGCTGCGCTGGCAGAAGATGCGCGGTGGGACTGTTGCATCCTCCTGTCTCCAGATCTGGACGGCCACGAAGGCGATCATGAGCACTCCGGAGACGACGAAGAGGGCGATGATGCGGCCGTTGTTCCAGGGGTACGAGGTGCCGCCGAGCTGGAGGGCGAGCAAGAAGCAGGTGGCCGAGGGGAGGAAGAGGATGCTGCCGATGGGGTCGAGGCGGTTGACCTGAGTCTGCCAGGGGGTCGACTCCTTTTTGGAGCGAACATTCAGGAGGAAGAGGAGCACAGCCATGGTAACACCTCCAATGGGGAGACTAGAATCAATTAGCAGGATGTCCCTGAATAGATAT